GGCTATGGGCAATATTGAAATGGCTGCGGGCCTGAATATTCGCCCCTTTTCTTACAACAGCTGCCTATATGTCTTTAAATCAGTATGTCATATAATGGTTTATCACAATTCTAAATATCTATGATATATGCAATTTAAGAACGTAGCATAGCGTAGCGTAAGCCGTAGCAGCCCAATTTTCATTTGTGTTTATAGATTATCTGCCAGCAAAAGAACCCCATCTTCTTACCCTGTCTAATACCTCTTATAATAGGCACATAGGCGTAGAAGGATCCATGGAGCGTATTTACCTGTAAAAAAATTCCCATGTTGTAGAATTTGTGGTTATTTTATAGTTTGCCCTTTGAGACAAAAAGAGCGATTTTGAAAAACAGTATTGCCCTTGAACATAAATCGTCTTTTAATAAATGAATTAGATTATGGTCTGTCGAGGATCTGACACGCGACGGGAATTTTTCTTGCAAGACAAAATGAATTGAAGAATTCGTTTGAAAGACATTTCAGTATTCATTTTCTTTATAACTTCCTATGGTTTATTATCTTAATTGTCACGATTCTATATCAACTCAGTAAACTTCCATATGTTATGATGTTAAGCGGTATACCTTAGAAAGACACAAAACACCGCTAAATAGCTTAATCAAATATAGTTCTAAAAAAACGATATTATAGTTAGGATATTCACCCCATATGGATTTGATATGTAGCTCTGATACACATGATATAGCTGTGATATGTAACACGATATAGCTCTATACCTCTATATTGGAATTGCTCTGATACAACATATATAACAATTATGTACATGTCGATATAGCTTTGATATGTACCGCTATATAGTTTAAATAGGTACCTCGATAAAACTCTGATATTTAACTCCTCAAAGCTCTGAAACACCCGATATAACCCTGATTTACATCTCGATATAGCTTCGACTGCAATATTCACTACATATCACTTGATTATATTGTCAAGTTCTTTTTTGTTATAGTAATGCAATAATTATAAAACTGATGAGCACTCTTGGGCGATGACATTGGTAAATCGTTGATTAAAATGGGACAATTCTTTAGTCACTTAAAACAAATTCTAAAAATTGAGTAAGTCAGATACAAGCAATTGCCAGTTTGATTTACGAATAGCTTTTAAAAAAAATCCAATTGAAAATCTTTAACTAAGGCCGGTTCTTTTGTCTTCCACAAGTGAATGTGGGCGGGTATATTAGTTCAGATAATTTCTCAGGACGCGGCTACCGAGACCATTATGGCATAACCACTGATACATAATCACTGAAGATAATCAGGTTATAACCAAAATAACAGAAGTTTGAAATTAAATGTAATCAAAGTAATTCTAAAGACCAGAGGTAATTGGATTGTTTCAAGTGAAAGAGTTGTATTAATTATTTAATACGGGAGGCGGTATAATAGTATTTAGTAGCAGATTGTAAAATCATTCACAAATTTCCAATCAATGCTCGTAAAATCATTCAATCATTCAATAGATATCACTCAGGAAGGAAGTTCGGAATAGTTAGAAAGGTAAGTCTATAAGACAATATTGTTATTCTTGAATTACCTATTAAATTGTATGTCATTTTCAACCTCAGTATAAATATACCAAGAGTATGTGCAATATTATTATAGTGCATTAATTTAAATAAATTCAAAATTCGAGTCATTTGTCGATGAGACAAATACATAACGGGTCCACGGTCCACATAGCACACGCTTCAGAAAATTTTATAATACATGCTGTTAGTTGAAATTCTGTGGTAGTACTATTAACTCATATGGGTTGTCGATTTTAACTTCGTTTTTAAATTTAAACTTTTTGTAACTTTGGTCAAATTTTCATGACTGAACTGATTTATTTATTTCTTTATTTACCTGTTAATTTCATACTTATCTACTTACTTCTTCTCTTACTGATTATTTTCATTTACGTATTGATTCATTTTTGCATTTACTTATTCATTTACTTATTCATTTACTTATTCATTTACTTATCCAATTACTTATTCAATTATTTATTCATTTACTTATTCATTTACTTATCCATTTACTTATTCATTTATTTATTCATTTACTTGTTTATTTGTTTCATCTGAAGTCAGTTTATATACGCCATTTCTTACTGTCACCAAGTTCCGAATAGTCTTCACAAAATGTCGGAATATGGTCTTGTCAACAAGGTACACGATCTCTTATCTATATTATACCTGATTTAATTTGTACTAAGTAACGAATTTAAAGAAATCAAATCAAGCCTCCTCTTTATGATTGTTCAACGGATTCAAACCGGAAATAGAATGACGCTAAACGCTAACCGGGTTTACATTGATTACTCTAGCGTCACATCATAGCACGGAACTTCAACTGAGGGGGTAGGGAAATAAGGTTGCTTTCAAGGTATTAGTAAAGATTTGTGACCAAGACACAGCAACATTTACCAAGGGCAAATTAGTAGTACAATATCACAGTTGAATATACAACATAAAAGTAAGCATGCGATACATTGCTATCGTCAAATATCATTAATATGAAACATTTTGTATTGTACGATTAAGGTGTCATTAAAGAACGGGGTTATTTCAATAAGGCAATAATCACTTGCAGTTATATCACATAATAAATTGGTTAGTGTCAGCATACACTTTAAATTTTGTCGAACTTGCACCAATACTCTCCAATTCGCACCTTCAACTTCCGGTTCATTATATTTTTTCGTCGTCTTTTTAAAGACTTAACGCCATAAATGCCTAAAGACAAATGCTAACATTGGATTTTACTATCTTTTGCACGCCACTCATTTTGAATTATTGATCAATTACTTAATCAACCTCTATAATTAGCAATAACCAGATATCCACCTTTAAAGGCACTACTCGTGGTTACGAATTGAAAAATTTCTCAAATTTATAAACGTGACTGCCAAAAACCGGTGCCCATGTCCAAAACGAAAACGTCATACCCAAAGTCTATTTTCAAAATAGTAGGCCTAGTTACAAATATGTTCGAAAGCAAAAAGATATTTAGAAATTTAATTTGAACGCTAGTCTATACAGAAACTGTTAAAACGTTCTTTCTTACCCACACTTACTGCAGGTGTAGCCTATGTTGTTAATGTATATTTCAATATTTAACTATGTTATAGAATACATTAATATTAGAACATTTACTGAATTACGTGTGTACAACGATGTAATATACGACGAGAAATAACACATTTTTGAAAATGCTGAATATGCTATTTAAGGAATTCATCATTCTATACAGAGAAATACATAAAGTCTATGTCAATAAATCTTAAAATAACCCTTTTCATTGAAATGTGGGACAAAAATACCCATGTTTTTGTTAGATAAAATAGGCTAACATGTTCGAAATGACAAGCAACAAACAAGAATTGTACTTGATAAACCAATTCATGTACCCATTTCATTAGAAAACTCACATTATGACATTTTGAGTGTATGTTTTGTTACACTTACTACTCACTTCCGTTATAACGGAACAATTTTTTCTGATGTACTCGATATCCGTTGTTAACCCACTTAAATATATCCCTCCATCTTTTGTCTCATCATTTAACAGACTTTCTATTTTATTCTCCATATTTCTCATTGAAATTCACTCAACCGTGGCAAAACAGTTATAATTTCTGAAACAAAAGATGCCATTATCAAGTCATATTATTTCTGTCATATTCGATCCTTCTCGATATTTTTTTTATATCAGAAGCAACATATAAACCAAATGAAAACAGTAAAAATACAATGTGCTCAAAAAGGTAGTTTAAGGATATAGGTACGTTACCAGCTGATAGAGTTTTATTTACAGGTATTTGTACTATTTTTTAGAATAAAAAGTCAACGTTCGATTAGTCTAAATGAAATAAACCTCATAACTCGTCATTCTGTTATCAATATCTACACCGTCGAAAGTTGATATTGGCCTGAACATTAAATTGTTCTGAGGTACGTCTTTAAGAGACCAAAAGGAATATAAGAGCAGCTACCAAAACGTTGAATAAGATGTTGTAAATATTTTTTCTTGACTTTGACCATAACCATTCATTCTGGATCAGGTCATAAATGATAAATGCAGAATCAAAGAAAGAAGAGTGTGTTTATCGGATTAGGTATGGAATAGAGACAGTCTGATAGAACTGATAATGATAAAACTATAATAATATGGATTAAGTTGAAGATGACTGGTTAAAGAGTATGATTTAATCCTGATTAATGACTGACACTGTATTAGACAAATCAATCTATGGCACTCTATAATTATATATTTACATTAAGTATTAAAACCATTCTTACGGGTAATACTAACTAATTTCCAGCTTTCAGTTTTCTCTTGGTACCAAGTAATAATGAAATTCTATATTAAAAAATATGATTTATTATGTCCCAAATCCCTTAATGACATTCAAATGACATAATTTGAGTCATCCTGATGAAATCACAAATATCACATATTTAGTATTCAAAGTGACATTTGAAAAAGTAAAAATAATAGATAAGAGCATTAACAAATAACTTTCCCAATGGTTGAACACAACGAACAAGATATTTATTTTAACCTACAAGAGGATTAAAATTCCGTCTAAATATTGTTTTAACCTAGATTTGTAATCAATAAAGAAGCTTTGTTTTAATGAATTCTTAAACAGACTTTTCGATTCATTTGATATTTATTCCTCTAGCTATGATGTCTCTTTAATTATATTGGTGTCGTCTGTTTTTATCTACCAGGAAGTGTATCATCATTCTTGAAACAAACGTATACAGATTCTGTCACTCCGTTAAGAACGTCGAATTGAAACTGTTTTGAATATCTATGACACATAGTTCCCTTGCTTCAACTTATAACAAGCAGTGGCGGCGCCAGCCTCCCGCGATTGGTGGTACAAATAGGGGGCTGACTGACTTAATGGGGGTCAACTGCCGAGGTCGAATTTAAAAAGCGAGAAGTCGCAAGCCTCCCATGTTGCGTCTGTGAGGGTTCTTTCAAGAAAATTTTCGAAGACATGAATTGATTTGTCGCATTTTTTTCTTTTTTTGAATTTGTGGGGGTAATATTGGGGGTACAAACCATTGTACCACCACTGGATCCGCCATCGTTTGGAAGTTATGCATTTATGTCTGGTTATAATTAGTGGCAATATGATATCAGATTAGTTTGGTAACAATGATGCGACTGTACTATTAAATTGAACTATAATGCAACCACAAAGATCTTCAGAACAATATTATCATTCAATATTACCATGTCAAATGTGATATTTTTAATTACTTTTTCAGAAGGTACAATGGGTTTCGGACGCCTTGCGATTGGACAAGACATGCCTTATAATAATGATTTGTGACACAAACACTGAGATGATGCTGAGATGTAGATGTTCTCAGTGTCAGCCTACACAATATATCCACACCTTTAACGATTAAAATACGATAGGTAACGCTGACATTGCATGTCTCGGTGCATAAATCTGGCTGAATATTTAAAATCAGGGGGAATTTTATTAGCACGTCTGGACTGATGAATCTTGATAAATAATTCTGTTTGTAAATCAAGAAATTTGTATATACGATGAATAGAAGCCAGGTAATATTGCTCACCTAAATAATAAAATCCGTTAATAAATCATGGAGATTTTAAACTACGTGTCTGATTTTTTCTGTATGAAGCTGTAGATTATAAAATCTCTAGTGGAACGATTATACCTCAACAGTCATAGTCTTCTTTTGTTTTTCCAGAATAGTGTTCACTGCTAACAATGGATTGGAAAATCTTCATTACCTATGTTATAATAGCCATTAAAGGTAAGCAACTAATTTAGTATTAAGGCCATGTATCTATTGGCGTCCTTTAGTTTGGATCCAATGGTATTTGATCAGGATGCTTTGTTACGATCTGATTCAACCAAAATTTTGGCTGCAGCTTGGTTAAAAAGATTAAATCAAGTGGGCCCCATCGTAGTCAGTCGTGAATTGGCCAAGCCAGAAAAAAAGATTACTGATAGTGCAGTATCCCCCACCCCATTCGGGTTTTTCCACACTCACATTTCTTATCATTTTACGTAGGGAAATAAAAGGCCGTAAGCACCCTTGAAAATTCAGTGTACCCTACTCAGTTCACTACTTAAAAATTCTTAGAAATTTCTCTAAATACGAGAAGGTAAACTTGTTTTATTCTGAAACGAACATTGTCCCGATACTATCACGACATGATGGCACATAACTTTAAAAATTTTATCAATGCGCTTCTGATATATCTGGAGATTCTAGAATTGATCGTTCAGTATTAAATGGCTCTCAGAATCTTACTTAGGTAACCGGGAATTTAAGAATTTGGAAGAATCATTAAATTAATAAAAACCTAGAAGTAAGCCGCCATCTCGAAGAGTTTTTTTTGTAGAGACTGACATGGGTTTTAATTTATTGTTTTTCAATTTGAGGTATAATACCATTAACTCTGATAATTCAACAATTTCATTATTTTTCTCCTTTTACCTTTTCAACATGACATGATTGAAAAATGACAAATTAAACTGTATCCTATCGTGTTTTTGTGACAATTTCATTGAAATTAAATTACCCCTTATCTTGTTTAATTCCATTGCTTTCGTTGTCCAGACAGTAGCTTCGATCAATTGGTGAACAATTCAGTTTAGTCAGAAGAACGCTGAATATTTCCCATCGGAAACTATTTATTCATATATCAGATATTTAAGTGTATACGAAGTAGAAATCAAAGAAATCGCTTCCATTTTATAATGTCATGTAAAAACACGTGCCATGTTTAACTAGGGGTCGTCGTTTTAACGCTATATGAAAAGGTGTTATCGTAGCAAAGGTGATTGGTTATGTGTATATTTTCGTTTTGCCAACCGATGTACGAATTGTCTAGAAATTCAAGTAGATTTTTTTGTGATGTAGCAACTCTTTAAAATCAAATTTAGGGTTAAAATCAAACCCACTATATAGTAAGGGATTTAATCAATAATTCCATGCATATCGTTGGTATTCTAGTATATAACAGAAATTCGATTTCTATATGATTCACATGCATTTTTGACAAATTATATTTAAAGCCAGAAAACAATTTTGACATTAAAATATTGGGCTTATTAGATTGGAAAACCGAATTTTATAGAAATAGTTGTAATGAAAATTGACAGGTTAAGAATATATACCGCATTTAAAAGTCTAGATGTCAACTAATTGTTTCGTTTTATCAAATCTCAAACCATTAACTGAGAAAAATGATTCACATTTTGTACGTAACTTGTTGACAGATGTGTAAAAAAGCGACATGAAATATTTGTATTTATTTTTACCAGAAGAACTTACCATTGCGTAGGATGCCGTTGTCGTGAACACCATAAATAGCATGTTCATTGCTCAATTCACTTGTTTGAATGTTTAGATACAGAAGTTATTAGTTATGATGCTCTCTGTGAAGTCCGTGCTGTAATTGAAGCGTACTACTGTTTCCTTTCTTTTGATTTTAGCCATTAGCAAAATCCTTGGACCTTATCATATTATAATATTGGTATCTTGGTGTCAATATACTGAAGTCGACTAGAATTTAATCATTTAAATAAGTAGACTTAATAGTGATCACTCTTAAAATGTCCAATTTCATATTTAACGCATCAAGTGAAAAATATCATTTGAAACCTGAAGTAAAAATCAAGCTAATAATATTAGAAAAGAAAGGAGAAGTTCAATGATGTGTAGAAAATGTTGAATCATTCATAACAAGTCGGCGATTAGAAGAATAGATATGAGTGTTAGTTCCAACCGCTTCGTTTCACATAATACATAAAATATTAGGATTTCACACTTTGTGGTAACCGTGACAGACTTGAGTATGATTTGATTACCTAAACAACTGTCTCAATACTCTAAGGTTTTTCGCTCTCTGTGGAATTTGAAAAAAAGAAAATTCAGAACTACCCATCCAGAATTTTCAATCAAAAATGTCCCTAATTATACCTTAAGATATAGAAGGTAGAATTAACATATTTTGTACTGAAAGGACGCAGACGTTTGAGTAAGCACTCATTGGATCGGTACAGCACATTCTTTCGTAGGTGCTCCCACCCGAAGCATTGATTTTAAAATGGAATTGTGGATAGTAATTTGTCAAATTGACCAACCCAGTCATTCAGAAATCCGCGAATTTACTACGATTCTATCAGAGTAAATTACTAAACCTTTCTCCAGCTTATCTTATACTGCATGAGGAAATGGAGTAGTCATTGTTTAATAATCTTTGTCAACAATTTCCAATACTCTTATTATGTTTGGTTATTGTCTCCACGTCAACTCCACTAACCCCAACTCGTATTGAGTGTTGAGATTACGTGGATTCGGGTTGTTTGTGTAAGTCGATCGAATCGCTCGAACCAACAAGCTATTCTGTATAGCTCGCGTCTACTCCAAGACACATTAAATATCGTTCGATTATTTATTTAAGAATAATAAATTTTATTAGGCTTCTAATTCATCCCTTCCTTCAACATGAAGTTTTCTAAATCACATTAAGACGACATTGTGTAGGGATAATTATATTAGGATCTCTTTTCATCGATACTAGAAACTGGGTTGTAACCCTCCGCGCCAATTTCAACCTTCTATAAACCTCAATAGAAAACGGTGATTGGTTTTTAGAACGAGTAAAAACAGTCATTGTTGTGAAAGAATACAAAATCTAAATCTACTGCAAATCTCTCTATTCCCAGTCTATATTCATTTGGTTTCAAATTCAATTCAATTGGTAAAGTCTGCAAAAAGTTTGACTCAAGGCAAAAGATTAATTTTGGCAATGGGGTAGCGGAGCAGTTTTTCAGGAAAGCATTTATTCATATTTCCTCATCAAAATATAATGATGGATGAAGAATCATTTGGCCTATAGATTTCTAAATCAGCTGTTCCTAAAGCCATAGTCAAATGAAAACCACGAATGCTTTTCAAATTTTCTATAGGTAATTCAGTTCAGACCTTATTGCCCGACTCGTCTTTTACTTGGACTCGCTAGACCAATAGTCATTTTGTCCTATCACTGACGGTCCATAGGCAAAGTGAACTATTAAGAAAACTTTGTTTTGCATTGGTTACTGTACTGTGATCAAGTACAGTCAACAGAGATATCACTTGATGACCTTATAACACTGAAATTATCTAGAGCGTTTCACAAGTATTGTGAAGATTTTATTTGTAGCCGTATATCATAAGTAAAGATATAATGTAACTTTATTGAAAGATCTGATAAATGCAAAAAATACGTGATGACTTGAGTCAGATTAACAATTGATCTCGTGTGTTCTTTGGGGGTATATTATTGAACACGACGCAGTTTTTTTCTTCGCAATACATGGGTAATATCAGTGGCCATATAACAAACTACATAATGTTGTAATAATGTTCTAAATCGTTTTATTTTTCTACTCAATTAAGATAAGTCATCAGCAATTAGTTGCTTGCTCATTTGTTGGCTCAATTTACCAGCAATGACCCTGACTTATTACACCAAATCGGATTACAGCCAATCAAATTGTAATATATCTTATTCGGGTATGTACAGAACTGATGTGTTGATGGAACTTAAACTTTCGATAACATACGCTGCTATCTTTATCATCAAAGTAAGATCATTTACGTCTGCTTTTTTGTGGGAACGTATCACACATCAGTCGTTAAAATATCTGAATTTTTAAAGTATACAGAATATGGAAAGTATGGCTTTTCACCAGTCTGAACAAAGTATTAACTCACTGTGTTATAATAAGATGTGACCACCTTACTATTTACTGCATGTTTGTGGATTCTCTTATTGTACTAAAGACCGATGTATCGGTTTTTCATGCATCCACAATTACTCTAAATGTTTTAGTAGAAAAAAGAACAGCCAAGACAATAGAAGAAATCGATAGTAATAAAAGTAATTGAAAAAAGATTAGAAAACAAAATCTGACACGGCCTCAACTTGAACATTTCTATGACATAATTTGAAATCGAAATAACGATTAGAAGCCTAATATTTTTAACAACTCCGTAGACATACAAATATCAATTTAAAGTTGTGTTCCCATCAAGGGAAATCTTTACAGACAACAAAGAGTTTTATAATAAAGAGGTTCAATCAGGATTTTAAATTTACACTAAGTATAAAATACTTCTAAAAACAAAGTATAACTGAGTAGTTTGAATGTTTCGAACTGAAAGTCAGTTTAAGGAATCATTAATAGCATTTTTATAAATCACAAGAACGAAATGAGGACTTATTTCGATCTTGTCTTAAAAACAGAAAAATGTTATTCGCACAAATGGAAAATGTTTACTGAAACGGGAGTCTGTCTGGCTATAACAAAACAGGAATATTCGAATGCTTGTTCTTTATCGTATAAGCAAACTATTTCTTGTATATTTTAATATACAGTCTTCTGTTACTTATTACATATAATAACGTCAACAAGAGCAGTATTGATTGGAATCTCTTTAGAATTGTTTTAAATGGAAGTTTTATGTCCAACAAACACCCAACTCCCTTTAGATATGTTACAACATAATTTAAATTGATTTATCTAATATGAATTGAATAGTAGATCTATATGTACTGTATATACATATTAACCTGTAGATACACATAAACAACTTTATAATGTGTATAAAAACGGTTAAGGATTGTCATACAGTTAAATTATCTCCCCTTTATAAAACAAACGCGGACGTAAGAGGAAGTATGTTGTAAAAACGCGTCTTATATGTCGCAATTTATATCTCTTTGACAACATACATTCTTCGAATGGTGATAAACCCATCCCTCCAAGAAATCAAAGCCCCGTATAATGTATAGGGCTTTGCTAAAAATCAGCAAATGACGGTACCAACTCAATTGCTAGATGTATTATATTGTAGCCACAGCTTGAAATTTATTTCAAATGAACACCATTAATATCATTCATTCAGGCCCCATGTTTTATAAAAGCTTCTTCACAACCACTCCTTAGCTTATTTGTTTATGTTTGGTATACATAACTTCAGTATCAAAGGATGCTTTCTGACTTGGTTGTGACACCCTTAATGATACACTATAATATAATTTATTAGGTTTTACAGAAAGGGTCATTGTTTCTATTCCAGGTATTGAAAGTAGTTGCCGATTTCCAGCATTTTTACAAACACCATCACATCTTGGTGAAACCAAACCTTGGAATACTGAAACTTGGTGGATTAACCTGAAACATGATGTCAGATGGCTTCAAAAACAGGATATTTTTATTGATGGGAATAATTTATGGCGGCACCGTGAACACAGTATGAAACGTTGTGATCGCGTTGAAAAACGCAGTGTTTATACTAAAACTAGTTTTGGAAGGTGTTCTGAACGAGAATTAGTGTATAATAGAACATGTTTAACGAATGAAGGATATAATACATATAAAATAATCCAATACAATCTAGATAGGTAAATATTAAATGATATTGATGCAGTTAAAGACCATCAGCGATACCATGTAAAGAAAGCGATGATGATCAATGATACACAAATTTATACATTTTGATATACTTCCACCCCATAATATATCATTCAATTGGCCCCTAGCTAAGTGTTAGCCAAATTGGTAATTGTTTTGGTGAAAGATATCAATTTTGTTCCCAGGGTACCAGTCATGAAGTGACTCGTTTTGATTATTATTAAATCTGTTAAATAATTTTGTATTTTGTCTTTTCAGAACACACAAATTTACCTGTATGAGATTTATACGTCGGAGTGATAATCTAGTGCAGGTGTTAGAAGGTCCACTGAGTGATACCAATGACCCTGATCTGTGTGATGAAGACGGGTTAGTTCTCGAGGAATGGCCGTGGGTTGGTGAGTAACTTTGTAGTACATGTATATTAAATACTAAACTCGCTAATGTGGCAGATCATGCTCACCTGGACTCCTGATTGCTTCGTGCTATGGGGTTTGTTAATTCCACATCTTTTTAAAGTCACATAGCTTATTATGCTATTTTATTTTTATCTATTTAAACATCTTTTGCAAAAATTGTAACTAACCCATTCTTGTGCATTCTGGCAACAAAAACTTTACACTGTGTCTATACAAGTGTAATTTAGTAGCAACCTTTGTATGATATGGTCTATGAAAACTGTTTGTGACGGATGGATGTCGTCCTGCTAGGTCATGCTCTATCTAAATAACTAAATAACCAGTCTTTGATATCATAATGTAATTCACAAGAAAAACAGGTTTTTATAAACAGTGCTAAATGCAATGATTAAACAATTGACATAATTTCTATTCATTTCTTAAGTAACGATTAAGCTTAATTGTGAAAATGTAGTGCAATATACACTTCTATAATAAACCAATTGTCGAATTTGTACAATTATATGAATCTAAATTAAGCGCAAAATTTACAGACATAGTCACAAATAAACGGAATAAGAACCTGAATGATGTTGTTGTGCTATTTGAGTCCATTAGGATTGAACTTTATCTTGAGATAATTGACTGATAGAGGAAAATATTAAATGATATTTTGATGCGATCAACAGACCAAATCACTTTCAAGTGTCATTCTTTCTAATAAGAGAGCATTAAGTACGAAACTGATTCTTAACGATCAATACTAGCTCTGTCTTTTATAAATACCATGCCTTGTTTCCAAAAAGTTCCATCATAGATTTGGAAACCTTTGAGTTGGGAGACATTGAACAAACCTCACGACCAAATAATGTAATTTCAAATTCAATTTTCATATTACATGTGGTATTCTACATCCGGAAATGACATCACCAAGTGAGGCAACATGCCAATTCAAATGAATTCCAGAAAAATCACTTCCTATCTCAAATGATCCAATCCGAAACGTTTCATCCCACTGTTTCTCATAGATCATTTTCAACTTCAGCTGCTCTGGAAACTGGAATAAAATAAGAATAACATTTTCAAGACGTCGAAGCAAAAGTAATAAAAAACTAAATGACATTGTGAAGGAGATAAAAAAAAAGGAAATAAATGACAAAATATCTTCTTTATTTACATAGAATAACGTTCAAATGTTAAACCGTGATGAAAGTAACGTTAAGTCAACGATTCACAATGCTCTCATCATATCAAAGGGATTATGTTCTTCCTTAGTTTTTTCTTCAAGGAAACAGTTCTTTGATTAAAAGTAGAATTTAAGAAAAGAAAATTAATCATCTTTTTCAAGTTCTGTCATCATCATTGCACAATCGTTTTTAATTATGAGAGTCTTTCTGAAGATTAATGAAGAAAAAGCAGAAATGACATTAAATTCACTACGCTTACTTAGTTTTTATACGCTCACAAGGAGATGTGGACGTATATTGCCGTCGTCGTCAACATTTTTTGTGAACAAGTTTTTATCTGATTTTAATGAAATTTGGTGCGAGTGAAACATATTAAAGACTGTGTTTTTATAATTTGAGGTTAATACTATTGATTTAAAAATCCTGCTTGAATAACTGACAGAAATATAAATATGAATACATTCAAACTATAAATGCATTTAGAAGATCTTTAAAAAGCGATAAATATTCGTATTTTAGTCACTAAAGACTGTATTATTTTTTCTAACAGCTGCCAGTGGACGTATATTGCTTTGCCTGGGAAGCTGTCTTAATATTTCTCTATGATCGATATCTGTTTTGTTATCTAGTATTATCTAATACTAGTTGAAAGATTTACTTTAGATGACTCAAAAACTGTTTATTTGGTTCCGGTTTGTAAACGAGAGGAACCGAGGTCTATTAAATACATACTTAATGGTCCCATTGGAAGTGTTTAATGAAGCAGAGACAACATTTCGTTTCCTGATAATATTTTGTTCACCTTTGTCGTGGTTGTCAATTATTGTACGATACCATCGATTACGTGTATTAATCTAGCGTGACTCTAGGTCTAACCTCTAGTTACGGAATCACCCTGCATTCTCAGATTACGGCTTGCAGCTTAGCCACAAATAACCTTTTTATAACGGTTAACTTAATTTCGCGACGTCCTATTCATCACATGATAATGAAATAAATGTAAACGATAACTTATTTAGCCCCGACATTGATATATAGCGGCGTTGTTTATTATGGCCTTCAGATAGAAATAATTATTAATTAATATTCACATTATTTAATCACATCTTTATTAGATTAATTAGCAGAACCGCAAGATCAACAAACATATCATATCATGTTTGAAAGTCTATAAATAAGCAATTCGCGCGATTAGATATTACTAGAGATAGCTTGGCCTGTCGCCTGATGTAAATGATTTGTCTAATATTCTTTTCGTTTTTTGCCTTTAAACCTGTGGAGTCTCAGATAGCCCTGATGAACTTCAAGTCCAAAAGGCCCTGGATGAACTTGTAGTTAATAAAGATCTTCAGAGATCCAGACGTGTCGGTTTTATTTTCAATTTACGTTTGACATAGGAGTCACATTTATTGCTCGTCATTTACTCAAAAAACTTTCCCTGTTCTTTCTCTCAATTCACGTTTTACATGGTAGTCACTATTATTATCAATCAGACCAGATGTAATAGAACAGGACTTTCATATATCTAATTAATTATCCCTGTTCTTCTATCAATTCACGTTTGACATGAAAGTCACGATTATTATCAATCAGTTCAGATGTAATAGAACAGTCATATATCTAATTTATTATCCCTGTTCTTCTATCAATTCACGTTTGACATGAAAGTCACGATTATTATCAATCAGTTCAGATGTAATAGAACAGTCATATATCTAATTTATTATCCCTGTTCTTCTATCAATTCACGTTTGACATGAAAGTCACGATTATTATCATTCAGTTCACATGTAATAGAACAGTCATATATCCAATTTATTATCCCTGTTCTTCTATCAATTCACGTTTGACATGAGAGTCACGATTATTATCAATCAGACCAGATGTAATAGAACAGGACTTTCATATATCTTATTTATTATCCCTGTTCAATTAACGTTTGACATGAAAGTCACGATTATTATCAATCAGACCAGATGTAATAGAACAGTCATATATCCAATTTATTATCCCTGTTCATCTATCAATTCACGTTTGACATGAAAGTCACGATTATCATCAATCAGACCAGATGTAATAGAACAGGACTTTCATATATCTTATTTATTATCCCTGTTCAATTAACGTTTGACATGAAAGTCACGATTATTATCAATCAGTTCAGATGTAATAGAACAGTCATATATCTAATTTATTATCCCTGTTCTTCTATCAATTCACGTTTGACATGAAAGTCACGATTATTATCAATCAGTTCAGATGTAATAGAACAGTCATATATCCAATTTATTATCCCTGTTCATCTATCAATTCACGTTTGACATGAAAGTCACGATTATCATCAATCAGACCAGATGTAATAGAACAGGACTTTCATATATCTTATTTATTATCCCTGTTCAATTAACGTTTGACATGAAAGTCACGATTATTATCAATCAGTTCAGATGTAATAGAACAGTCATATATCTAATTTATTATCCCTGTTCTTCTATCAATTCACGTTTGACATGAAAGTCACGATTATTATCAATCAGTTCAGATGTAATATAGAACAGTCATTTATCCATCATTTTTTAACGTTTGACATGAAAGTTGTGATGCATTGGTGTAGTTGCAAATATTTCGATCATATCACCCAAAAGAATCACCAATCCTTCTTTTCCCTGTTTGCTTCAATTCACTTTTGACGTGAAAGATGGGATTGCTTAGGTTTGATAGCCAATACTTCGAAAGTTCATGTAAACCAAAAGACCCTGTTTCCCTATTCTGCTTTCCATACACGTTTTGACATGGAAGTCAAGCTGACTGTCAATCAGTCAAGTTTAATCTAATTTAATTGAACCAGATTGATTCATTCTCTATGATTTTAGTACACACCGTCCGTCATGTTATCAACTAGGGACATTCCAGACTAGTAGGTGCAAACAATTTATTATTTTCAAACACATTAAGAAAGTATATTCTATGCTACTAGGATACAGATTAAGTTGTATTTCGCCAATTGTTCACAGTGTTTTTTGGCAGTTGATGGCCACGGGTACTGGTCTATTGTCATTCGAACAAGAAGACCATATGTTTTTGGTTGTAGATGGTCATTGTGGAAAAACAATATCAGGCATGCATTAAATATTGCCAACAAGGGTCAACACTCAACAGAAACCGAGCAGCAGTATTCAAAAGACGTGAACAGGTATAACAGGTTGAACATAAGTTTCTCGAAGCTTCAAGGTGTTGTGATTTATAAAAAAAAACACAAGACAATATTATGGAATATAACACACTTCTTTAATAAGATTGGGCACATAACGTTTCAACACAATATACACTTATATGTCGTAAATCTTATGTTGTGATTTAATATTGAACAACTCCTTTGTATGTCACCAAAGAATTCTTAATGCAAAGGGATGGAAGATTGATCAAGCGCTCCTCAGTATCGACCGCTTTATGGAGAGAGGAGAAAATCCGCGAGATATTTCTTTTGACACCCTAATATTATTATTCAATTATTGTGATTCGAGATAAATCACGTCCTCTGGGGGCAAATTAATCTCTATGTGTTCCCTTGAGTAATTGGTGTCATAAATATCAATATTGTTAAAATAGTACACTATTTAGGAGGGGCCATACTTTCTCTTTGCTATGGATACGTTAGCTTTGTTGGAATAAAATGATATACTAATAGCTTTGTATTATCCATTATGTAATCTATGGCAGGAGATTCATTCAAGGGTTTCTTAGACCTGACTAATGAGTTCATTGCGTTAAGATCGTAATTGGTTAAACTACTTTTTATTATTATAGTTTTTTTTCTTCCTAATCAAAGTGGTTGTCGAATAATAGCTGGGCCGAAAATGTTGATTCTTGAGCTCTGGCGAATATGTAGATGATTTAGCAAGTATCTCACGAAAATTCGCGAATGATTCCCTTGGGGATATTAGTGGGCATTCTTCAAAAACTGTCATCAATGCGTATGATTCTAATACATGATCCACAAATACATCTACATGTTTCACCATCTTGCAAAATGTTGCTTATCGAAATCCATTTCTTTTCATAAAAAATGTTGTTTTTGTAAAGTAATTGATTTGCAATAAATTTTAGTCTATAGCCTGCAGTTAATATATAAAGTATTCATAACCTTCGTCTCCATCAACGTTTTCATAAACTTTCTCTTTATTTATACCACATACAGACGCCATTTTAAAACTAGTCGATGAGCAGACGACAACTCACTTCCGATATTAAACGTGTAAGTTTATAAGAAATGAGCTAGCTTCGCGTTTAAACTTCCGGCAGCAAAATATTTACACAAATCACTGAATCTTATGAAGTAGAGATGTATGAATTGAATATCGATGTTTTTATTCCGGTGTTTCACTTGAAAGCCACAAATTCTCCATTCACTTCAGTTTTTTAAACATTGGTTCAATATGAATCCAATATATTTTTTTTCTCAAAGATGTTGTTGAAGGAGACAAATTAAAATGGCTTACTTAACTTCTTCACCCCCAGCCTCTTCAACTGGTTCAACTAACATAGTTGAACAACTTAGTTTATGGCATACGAATGAATGGACATCAAATTGAACGATTTATTCTATTTTGTTTTTTTTACTTTCAGCTAAGTGGAGAAAACAATCGTACAAATGTCCTATCAGTGGTGGCTTTACCTTCAGAACTATCAGCAGACTAACCAATGAAGTAAGTATGACATGAGCTCACAAAAGCAAACTTTTCGGGCAATGTTGTCACAACATATAGGTTAAGGTTCAAAAGTGTTGGCTACTTTATTCTTGATATAGGCTGTTGACGCTCTCCCGATAAGATATGTTGTACATTGCATGAAGTAAACCCTCTTCAGAAACCAGATAAGGGTCTGAAATAGACAGATAAGTAGAAGGTAAATATCAGAGTTTTTCTCTCAAAAAGTGATAGAAAACAGTGATGCCTATACGGCATATATGAAGGTTTCTTGCTTCGGGTGGTCCCAGACGACCGGCTAGCCACAAAAATGGATGGTCTATTTTCTATCATTACAAAGTGTCGATTGATCTACAGTATCTTATTGTTGATAGAAGACGTTATTAAGCTGCATTGACAAATAGATCTATCAAGATCACTATTAACTCAATTAAATATGATCCATTCACATTCATCTTTTACTGATGATATTATAAATACTTAATGTAACGATTGTCTTTATGTGAACATTTCAAAAACAATGAGGATATATATTGCAAAAATAGATTTAAAAAAAATAGAATGAAAATTTCTTGGCTGAAGATATTTTAATATTTATAGAATAAAATAAGAGTATAATTGCAAAAGATGTTTTCAAAAATAGATATAGGCTGCATTTTCACAATTATCTTTCATTGTAAGCAGCTTTTTGGTTGAATTATTACTATTAAGACACCAATATGACCCACTTAGTGTAGAAAGCTAGAAATAGAAACGAAATTCTGAGACAATAAACAAAAAGACGCTTATTGATACAGGCTGTTTGAAACGAACATTTCAGAAGAAACTTAGATTCACTGTTTACATTGTGAGCATGCAATAAAAATGGCCGTCACGTCTGCTAACAGTCAATGGCGATCAATGATCAAACGAAGCAGAAAACATTAATTTGAAATCTGGCGGTAATTGTGACAACTTGATTTCCACTTATAAAGTCATTCTTCAACCTCAAGTGATGTGACAAATTGACCAAAACTCTTATCAAATATGCTTTAAAGCGTTTTACGACAACCGGAACTAGATTCTTGGTATTCTGCGAAATTGATGGATGGTAGAGTCAGTTGAAATTACCTTCTTGAACACTTCTTTAAAGTTATTAAGAGAAATTTTCAGTAAAAGTCAACAGTTCTTCCATCAATGGATGTACATTGAGTTCTTTAAGATTTTTCCCAACAATCTGTTTTTTTTTTTGCATTGAGGAATTTAGTTTCAAAGAAGCAGAACTGGAAGTGTTCCATTTTCAACATATGAGTGGGGGCGGATTTTTACTAAACCAAGCATCTGATTGCATCTCTTGATATTTGGTTATTTCCTGTTTGAATGTTCACTCTAGTACATTAACATAGCTCGGAGCTGATCTAGATCGAGCACTATAATAAATATCCAGAAGAATTGGTTATTGACAGTAACCTCCAAATTAGGGAAATCCGAGATAAATATTAACCATTAATTTCAGGATCATTGTGAGTCAGAATGGAGAAGATCGACTCTAGAAGTAGAGTGTGTAGTTGGTGATGGATTAGATTTTATGTCTCCAGTAGGCAGTGACTGCAATCCTCTCATTAGGAAAGGACATCGTAAGTATCAATGTATAGATGCTTTCCTCTCCACTGGATTACATAAATTCCAGCCGACGAAGCACCAATAATATTAGTTTATTTGCTTATGTCCAAAAAGATGTCAGATAAAACCATTCCATACATACTGAATACAAATAAGGATTTAGTTGCAGGGTCTTTTGAATGACTCCACCTCTACTATTGCCAAAAAAACTAAAACATTTACATCTACATTATTGAACAGTGCTCTTGAGGTATTCGACAGATTTTTCCTACGCATAAAAACAAGAGCTCTTATCTGATAATAGTTGATTTATTAAGGGTATCCAAAAGTTCGATTTCGCAGTGTTGGCCAAGACATAGAAATAAGCTGCGTATCTCCATTAAACTTATCGCTTTGTTTATCTCCTTACTATCTTTCATGTCTGGCTAACTTATGTTCTCGTTAAATATCGCGAGAATTAACCTAGTAATTAGCTTGATGACATTTATAGACGATTGATATCGATTAACAGCCTATCACTGACTCATAGTTTCCTTTTTTTAACGTAGAATATTTGACTTTAGTTAGCATATTCTTTGGTAGCAAACGAGATTGCTTAAATTTACATGTCGAGACTTTCAACAGATTTGTCCCAAATTAACAATATTAATGTCTTCAAAGATTCTGTGAGAAATAAACGCCTGTCTTCCCCCAAATATAAATATATTCATTATGCTAAAATTGATGCTTTAAGGTTGTTTTCTGGTGAAGTTCTGTTTAAAAAACCTGTTACATATTTATGCATTACTACCTGTAGTCTAAGTTCTTAACAGTTTCCAACATTTACCAATTTTCCATTGCTAATACATGGTAATGAAACCTCGTGCGACTCTAATGATTTATTAATAAGGCTTTTCGTCAAAGTGAACCAGCTAATCTGTCGAACTGTTGGACTTGATTACCGTTATCTCCGAGTTGGAGTGTAAAAAACAGCCCTTATTTGACACATAAAGAAGTTAAGAATTAATGATGATATGTTAGAATTTCGACTAAGATATATATGTTTCTCAAGAAATGAGCCAGTAATTACTTTATAATGGCAGCCATCTTGTCGTGGTTCCTTAAAAATAGAGAATGTTAAACATTTCCAGAATTAAAAAACTAATTAAGATTCAGCAATTAAAGATAAAATCGTAAAAGTCGTAAATCGTTTTTTTTATCAAATTTACATATTGGAATTTCGCTTTCTATCATCTATATTATTGCCTTTCTGTGACGAAAAGAGTTCAAAGTTCAAACGAATATTACATCAAATTTATTTTTGCTTGTTAATCAGAATTAAGGTTTTTATTTCATTTTATTAATTCCCCCGTAACCTTTTACCATTTCAGATAAACGTTTGGCTTGTTGGTCAGGTTGGGAAACTGATAGATTTATTTACATGGTAGCAGGGGAGTTTGGTGAGCAACCGAAATATTGCTTGGTAAGTTATTATAATGAATGGTGCTCTTGAACGGCAAAAGTTCCATTATTGCATACGACAAATTGTAGACTTAAATCAAACCAGACTCTGGAAGATATATATCTTTTGAGTGGGAATAAGTAATTTTCATTTATTATTTTTCTCTTATTCACCTTTCAGATATTGTACACTCGTCTCATTTATCATAAAAGGTAGTGAAAGTATAGTCTACTGAAACTCATTTCGTTCCAATTATTATTTCAGAGGTTCCCGAAGCATATGAAAGGAGAGTTTTCAGTATTGATATATTTTAGTGTTATCTGTCCAGAGGAGGAAGATGGTAAACCACCTACAGGAATACAGTATTATGAATTAAGAATGAGGAGGAAAGGTTTGTTGCATGGTACTTATTTTAGACAGCTTGAAATATTCAGTGGCAATGAGGTTAGATGATGCAAACCTGAGATTCTTTAACATCTCAATTACCAGACATACTTAAGCTTCACCAGTATGTTGGGTCTGTAAAGGGGAGAGGAAGGGTTGAGTTGTCAGTCAGTTTTGGAAATATATTATCGAAATATAAGATAATGCATTGAAAATAGGTGGAGGTAGATGACAAATTATTGCCCGCCTTTAACGGAAGCTGATGTTGCAAACTGGGTAGCTGTAGGTAATCGTTAGTTGTATCTGGATCAATGAAATTGGATGGTTCAGTAAATGAGAAAAATTTAGATCTGGGTGACTGTATTGACAATACAACTTCTCAGGTATATATACTGTTGTCTTGTAGATGAAGATAGATGTGAAGACGATGATGAAGAACAGTGTAAAATGATTGAAGCACAAGGAATCTGTTCTAAAGAACAACAAGAACAATATACCAGTCATTGTAGAAAAACCTGTGGACTCTGTCGTAAGTGATGTTTTTATTTTATTTCATCAGTAGTCATGATAACTTGATAAGTGGCAAACTTTAACAATGTAACCGGAAGTAGCGTTTCTTGTAGACCAATACCATAAACATCTGAGGCTTGTTACAAAACCATTTTTACAACCATAGTGTTTGTTACAAAGCTTTATAAATTCGGTAATTTAAAGCCATTGTTTGAATATGGAATCTGTACGAATACCAGGTCAACATTAACAATATAACAGACACTACACTATCCTTAAGGCAGATGCGATTCCAACTGCATACCAGAATAACTCTGTAATGAAGGTCAATAACATAAGAGGTTATACTGATTTAAGGTTAATTTACAATTTCCAAACCATCGTCTTTATGTATTCTATATTACATTGGCACCATTCCATTAAGTTGTAATAGAGACTTTTAGACTTTGCTTTCAGAATCAGTAACGTCAATTTAAGCTATAAAAATATTTTAACAAATCATACAGTTTACGGTCAAAACTTGATTTTCGTGTCGAAGAAAAAATAAAGCAATTATTTTAATGTTTCCTCGTCTTATGATTATGTAAACAAGACTCATTTCTTGAAAACGGCACATTCCATTCTCGGCTGTTACCATTCTTAGCCGCCATTAATAGATTAATTTCTACGTCTGCTATTACTGAAGGCACAGACGATCATGATCCCGCTTTTCACCCTTTCCCGCGCTTTGAGATTACATGGCTTGTGTGGTTTGATTGAAGTGGCCACGTTAGTCAAGTGAAGTGAAATCTGGTATGAGAAGGAACGTGCTTCAAGACGAGTCGAGTGACATGTTTGAAAAACACAATGAAAAGATGGTTAACTCTACCTAGTGGAAATCATTTCTTATCTTAGCATTTAATTATATTAAAATAGTACAAACACTTACATTAGCTATCTAACAGCGACCAGTGTCTCCACTAGATGAGTGGGGGCCAGTAGACTTAAGTGTGTTTGGCCCCTTCCTAATAACATGCCCTGCATTCTGAGACTCCTCTGTAACTCAATGTAATGCCTGTTAATTGAAGATTAACTGTAGATATATTGCGGGTTGTTTAGTTTGATTATAATTGTAGCTTGTAAGTGAAGCAATTATATATCATTTTATTTTCTGGCGGTGGGGGTTAGTCCCAATTGTAGTTGAGCCACTGGCAGCGACCACTTTAGATACCAGGGGTGTTTGAGCTTATAACAATAGTGTTTTCTCGTTGTTTTTGTTGGAATCGTGTGTTATAAAGCTGATTTCAAATATAGTTACCGTCTACGACTCTGATGCCTTTTACAGACAGAAAATGTGATTATCCCGTGCCAAAAATAGTCCACAAAAAAACTTTAATTTTCTGTTCTAAACAATTACTTTACATTTAAAAGAAATTTCATTTCAGATGTACAGTATTTTACATTTAAAACAATCAATATGCTGAAAGGGTTTGTGCCGTTTAGAAAGCTTACCATTGGGGATTTTCCTTTAAGATCAGTTCAAAACATTTTTGAATTAATTGATTTTAAACTTTTGTTTGTTTTACTTTGTTTGTTGACCAGCGACAGATATTTAATTCTTAGACATCCTGGAACAATGATGGTCATATTGACCTACTTGGTAAAGGAGATGGTTGATTTTAATACATGTTGGAAATAAAGTATTTCAGAAATATAGACTTTAGACTTCCTAAACTACGCTTTAACTTTGTGTCTGTTCTCTGTAGACATTGTGACGCCTTCAAACTTTTCTGCAAGGTACCCTCGGACCTTTCTTATGTCCAGTTTGTCCTACTCGTTCAAATAGATTTAGCTTTTATTGCGGAAAATATAATTTGTGAGAATGAATGTATTGATTGGCTTTGTCAAAGACTATATTTTACTTGTAACTTTTAAGGAAAGTTGGATACATGCTTTTAACATTCATCAAATAAACATTAAAAGGGCAAAACGTCTGAAGTAAAGAAAGCAAGTACTTTATCACAATTAGAATTACAAGAGAAATTGTTTAATAAAAGAAGACATGCCTCTCGACACGTAACATTTTAAAAACGATTTTTTTTTCACCAAGAAATAAAGTTAGGAGGTAAGAGAAGAGAAGTAAAAACTGAAATTAACTGTTGTTTAATTTAAGATAACGTCTTCTAAGCGAGTCATCTAATTTTAACTTTAAAACCCTCCAAATCAGTTAAGTGCTAGATTTAATCAATTTACTAGCTCTTAAAGTTCGAGCTTTTACACCTTAAACTCCGGCGAGACCCAAGGTTGAATTGAAAAGAACTGTAAATTGATTTGATGGCTGGTTGATCAGCGACCAATCTTGGAGAGTTTGAAGCAAATCAGTCGATGAAATTGTCACACCTTCTGCAGTGGGTCTATAATTAACTTACTACAGTCTTGCTAGAAGTTCAGTAAGGTTATAGTTTGATCATTTTGATTCATTGACTGTGAGGACGAGATAATGAACCAACATGAGCAACTGCAGAAGTTACTAAACACAGCTAATTAATTATAACACACCGGCAATATAAACACAAACAAATTCGTTTAGTTTAGTTTGAAATGGGGCCAAACGTAAATTATTTTGAAGTTATAGTTTCTATTTTAATTCTTCTGAAAGAGTGCATTTGGTGGTCGTGGGTTCTAATATCGGTCGGAGTTTCTGGCGATATTGCAAAAGTCATCTTTCCTCACTATTCCTGTCGACTGTAAATGGGTACGGATAATCCAGGAAAGATCAGTAGCAAGAGGATAGGCCAGGGACCAGATGGTGGGCAGGATCATCGCTAACTTAAAATGTTATTCTTGTAAGAACGTTAAGTATAGCTTTAAAGTCGTAGGCTACCAATCACAGGGCGTGGTAAATTTATGTATATTTGTTTCAGAACACAACAACGCTGCTAAACAGGGGTGTTATTTTGATGCCAAGATACATGGTTCATGGGTATTGTATGATTTAAACAGAGAAGAAGATGTACAGATTGAAAGGCGACATGCTGTCTTCAGTAAATTTGGTAAATTTCATTGTCGTGAGAAAGGGACCAATGAAAACCAATATAAAACAGTCACAACCTTTAGAAATGGATGGTACGATTAAATCTGTTTTTGTTATTATTATTATTTTCAGATGTTTGTAAAGAGGTAGAGAGCTCATAATAGCTACTACATTACAGCTTCAAATATTGAAATAGTAATGAAATTGTACAAAAGCTTACCGATGGAAGTGTCTACAATTCATTTCAATGTATTTCATCGTTAATTCAATTGTTAATTGATATTTCAGTGTTCCCAGATATACATGCTTTGAGTTTTCCAGAAGAAATAACAATTTACTCAGTTATCGAGCAAGTAAGTTCTTTTTGATGCTTTAGTTAAATTTACTTTTTATATAAAAAAAAGTCTGACTGTCTGCTTTTGGTCCACAACAGTCAATACTATCAGTAGAGTATGTGGCCACAACTCTGAACACTCATAATTTTTTCTTAATACTTATCTCAGCCTAAATTAAACATACAAAAATGATGAATGTTTCACAAATAATGAGTTTCTCCACATATTTGCGATTTCCCATGTAGAATTTTCTCAACAACTGAAAACTTTTTTTTGGTTTCAGGTCGAAGTTTACGTCAAGATAAGGAAATGGAAGAAATTTGTGCTTTTCATGACGACCCTTTTCCTCTGTTAGATACTTATAGAAGTTATTATTTCAAAAACCTTATCTGTAAGTAAATATGAACTTTTACCAAGTTGATCAGTCGAGGGCTCTGATTGGCTGTATTCGCTGGCCAATAATCCATTCAAATTGTTGCTTTCCGTGATACAAGAAAGGTGGCTATTGCAGTCTACGTATAAGACGAGGTGGACCTTATGTAAGTACCCTAATATCCCAACCCCATTCCAACATGTCATCCTACTGTTATCAGTTATCTACAATCTGTTAACATTCAGATTAATTTTTCCTGGACGATTATGACTAATATACTACTGTTTTCAATCTTGTATTCAGTATCTGGAATAAAGAATCTGTGGCCATCTTACTGTGGTATTGATAGCACCATACCATTTAATGGTACCTTTAATGATGAAACATGTGATGGTACCATATCTGATTGGGATGCTGATACTTGTAGAACACGAGTTAGTTTGACTCTTCAGTCCACATCTTGTCCTTCCTTATTAGCTCCTTTGGGTAAGTTCTTCAGGTTTGAACAGATACAATACTAGGTTTCGATTGGTCTAAGCCGTGACAAAATGACAGTAAATACCTTACTTTTGAAACGTAAAGTCTTTTTTTTTTATCAATTATTTATGTTAAATCCAACCAAGCCCAGTGCAGTGAAATACTATTCCCACAAACCTGACCCGATCCCTACTGAGTTCCCGAGACTTGATAGATAGATCTTAACGACATCGAAGCTCCAGTCGAATGGAAACTTTTTGAATTGCGAGATAAGTAACATGCTTATGATTTTTCAGAACTTCAATGTTTGGCGTTTATAACATACCAAGAAGAAGACTTGCAGGAAATGATCATAACTAGAAGTATGGATGGCAGGAATGAATTTAATTGTTGGGTATGTGTCTTTTCTGAATCATAACCATTTTATTAGCTAGATCGAAATATCTGTTTCTATTCCCGCCTCTGATGGCTATTTTGAGAGTTTTTGGCTGAGACAGATGTTTTGGACTATATATTAGCTTGTAGTGTGATTATGTACGTTTTAATGCGTAACGCAATATCCGCAATGTCTGAAAGGTAACTGCCAGCTTTCAAATCGACAGAAAATACCATCTGTGTTATAGAGGTGACTGAAAAGCTGACGAGGATACATTGTCAGCATAATTAATTACCTTATGTAAATATTTTATTTGATTCTGGCCTTGTTTTGTTCTTCATTTTGTTTTTTGCTCCTTGGTACAAGCAACCATTGTATATCACGTGTGTTTCTTGTGTGTTTTCAGATCATCAGTAGCTACATCATTGGTAGTCGTTGGCCATGGAGAGTTCTTTACAAGATGCCAACCACACAATGTACGCCGCTTTCAGATGTCGAGTCTGATGAAATGAGGAGACCTAAAGCTGCTTTGTTCCTTGAAGATAGTAAGTATTCTCCATAGTAGCCGTTATGCTTCTAAAGGTATTAAGGGAATTTGCTAATAATATGCGCTATTACAGTTAAAGTGGGGGGTATGATAATACTGGCTGTGTCAAGAACATAACATAAATGTACCAAGTCATTGTTGAAAGCAAAATTCTTTATCCGTTTCACATTACTTTTTTTTCTTTTTAGAAGAGAAAAGGAAAGAATGTAAACCAATGGAAAACCCCGTTACATTACCACGTGACATATTGACCAGATCAACCAATAAACCTCACGTAGTTCGAAATGACCAATCGCATTCACGGGACAATCATCAACGGCAGGGACAAAGAGATGAAATCGACCTAGATAATCCCCGGGTTGTGCTTGATGAAGTAGAAAGTGCATCTTCAACGCTTCACTCGACAGACGTTTTTAGAATAGTTCTAGGTGTAGCTTTAGTGACAATTTTGCGATGTTTCACGCGATGACGTAATAAGTAAAGTGTTGATGTATCAGTGCACTCTCATACAGAGATGTCGTTCCTTGCAGTTGCTGTTGAAATGAGCTGCAAGGAACGACAACTCTGTAGGAGAGATTGATATCAGAGATCCAAGTTAATTTATGCAATAATCAAACGATGTGAACAATTTCACAAAAGTGCCAAAGATTGTGTATATAGTGTGCCGGATGTGACGATGTTAAAGCCACCATAAAATTTTGATTATGTCGGCAACTTTTTTTTTTACACCTGTAGTAGTCTTATTGTAATAGAAAAACGAAAAACGAGAAACGTAAGGCTAGGCAATTAACATTGCATGGGGTTGAAGCTTTTTTTCAACTGTGGGGGGAATTTGGCAGATCCGTGGCGTGAATATGGATTAGAATTTGTAATTTAAGGTACCTTTTCTTGCGTTTTCTCGACGTTTACCGGCAACCAAGTACATTTTTTGTTGCCGTAAGATCGCAAATGGTCGCAGTCCGGTGTGACGGGGCTATAAGATATTGACGTATTTATAATGTATATAATGAAGTCAAAAGTTGATGTTTTCTGATTGTGGAAAATGGTGAAATTATGTAAATAGATATTATGTATATGAGGACCAATTGAATATGTAAATATATAAATATATAGCATAGATTTGTCTATGTAGGAATTTGTTATTTGTGAATATTATAATGATTACTTTTCAATGTAAAAACTATAGTGTAAATATTTTAAATTCAGATCTATGTATTGTTGAATGATCAAATGCAATTCTGTGATGTTCTTTGGTCGTTGTTGTCACTGTAAAACGTATAGTAATGGTTCATTAAAGCCAACGAATTAGTCTTGTTACTTGTTTGTTTTTCTTCAATTGGCTACTGGTTTATTCGGGGGGGGGGGGGTGGATTTTATGTTTTTGTCGACAGCATCTGGAAATTATATCGGTATTAACTGCCAGAAAGTTGTTTTCGTCAGTTGTGGATATTAGAATTATCTACCCTGAAATGGCGAACCTTGCTCTGATCTGATGTCATTATACAAACAGTCTACTGTGAAAGTTCTGCTAGCACTCTGCAACAATTACAGCTTCAGAATCAAAGTGGCCTAAACTGCTGCTAAGGATTACCGAATGATCATTTGCAGTCAAAGAAAGTACTTAAAATGCGGATTTAGTTACTTCTAATACTTCACTCGCCGTCCTTGATCCGACTAGATTCTTCCTTAAATCATATTCCGAGGAATTTTTACCCAAAACCATCAAAAGTTGTTATCATTTAAAGCTCACCAATCAAAGCATTGTTAAAGATGGATCGACATCATAAAATGTTAACGATGAATATTCCAGAATTCTTCACCTAAAGAACCTAATCTTTTATCTAACAGAGCTTGAGATTTGTTGATTTCGTCAGATACTCGGAGAATGGATGCCAAGTGAAGTAACACTTCAGAAAAATACTTAATTCTTGAGCAATCAGATGATATGACTATAAAATAACGAACGGTCAGCCAGAGCTCTGCAGTAGTCTATATTCAGCAGTACGGAAACTATAGAGCGTTGCCGAATGATGGCGTCTTTAATGTTGTCGGGTGGGGTTAGGCCTAAGGGTAGAAATAACCACACAGAGGGTTCTATGGACTTTTTATTATTAACATAAAACAAAAACCCTGAAAATACAAAGATTACAATTACTAACAGGCAAATGAATATATACATTAACATAGGCTTGTGGCAAGTCTCGCAAGCGAATACGCCCACCAGCAGCTTGATAAGGAGCTAAATGTGAACTGTAAAACAAACTCTATATCGTAGCCTGTAGGGTGAGCACGAGCGAAAAAGGTGAAAAAACACGATATCAGAGTTTTATGCGATATCTCTCAAGAAAATCATCGGATCCTCACCAAATTCAATAGTGCACATCTTCATAATGATATTAACACATACAAAAGATCAAAAGAATCCATAGAGAATTGTGGTCTGTAGAGTGAGCACGAGCCAAAAAGTGAAGAAAAAAACGAACGCGATATCAGAGTTTTATGCGATATCTCTCAAGAAAATCATCGGATCCTCACCAAATTCAATAGTGCACAACTTCATAATGATATTGACACACATACAAAAAATCAAAACAATCAATAGAGAATTGTGGTCTGTAGAGTGAGCACGAGACAAAAAGTGAAGAAAAAAACGAACGCGATATCAGAGTTTTATGCGATATCTCTCAAGAAAATCATCGGATCCTCACCAAATTCAATAGTGCACAACTTCATAATGATATTGACACACATACAAAAAATCAAAACAATCAATAGAGAATTGTAGTCTGTAGAGTGAGCACGAGCCAAAAAAGGGAAGAAAAAAAACGCGATATCAGAGTTTTATGCGATATCTCTAAAGAACATAGGCTTGCGGCAAGTCTCGCAAGCGAATACGCCCACCATACAATCCTCACCAAATTCAATAGTGCACAACTTCATAATGATATTGACACACATACAAAAGATCACAAGAATCAATAGAGAATTGTAGTCTGTAGAGTGAGCACGAGCCAAAAAAGTGAAGAAAAAAAAACGAACGCGATATCAGAGTTTTATGCGATATCTCTAAAGAAAATCATCGGATCCTCACCAAATTCAATAGTGCACATCTTCATAATGATATTGACACACATACAAAAGATCAAAAGAATCTAAAAGAATTGTAGCCTGTAGAGTGAGCACGAGGTAAATGTGAACGGACTCGTCAAAAGGCGCAGAAGTATAAATGAGTGAGACCGGACGGACAGACCGACGGACGGGAGTATAAAAATGGGATAATCTTGATTCCTATTCCTATTAATAACTAAACCTAACGTGTACAGGGGTTTAAAACTAATAAACCAATGGGAGGGAATGTACCTAACCAGAGGTGTAGGATCTGAAAATAAGATGTGTAATAGAGTTGGGAGTGCATTGTATGTAATTTAGTATGAATAGTTAATTGTAATAATGATAGGGAATATATATATGTAATGTAATTTATAAGATATGGAAAACACTATAAGATATAAAAATTGCAAAATCCAACATGGCTGCCACCTTAGTAACCAGGATAAACAAAAGTAGCCTACCAAAAGATAACGAAATGTAACATACCTTGAACAAAATCCAAGAATACCGCGTGGAGCCGCGTTTATCCGGTTGCCGATAATCCGGAAACCCCTATCCGCACGCTTTTTACTGGGAACGGAATATTCACGATGTAAAAGTAACTGTTTATCCGGTGCTCCGGTTTCCAGTTCCGCATGGCTGTGATTGGGAACCAATTATCAAATTCTATTAGTAATTCATCATCCGGTCGCGTTGAGTTCTTTAAACCGGCTTCAGAATTAACGGTATTTATGATGTATGATATGATATATGCACAGCTTTTAAAGAACTATGCCTGCAATATATTAAACCATATTATACCACACGACCAAATATGTACAATTTTTTTAAATTAATGAGCACTACGAATGTAAAAGATCTAAGAAACCTTGGAAGATATCTAATGTATGCGAGTAAGAAACGGTGATATGTAATCTGTAAGATTTATTATGATTTATTTAATTATTTTTCACATTACTCTCCTAAATGTGTTTATATTTATTATTTATTATGTATTTTGTAAATAAGTTATACCGATGAATCTGTGACTCAAGGATAATAAAGAATTGAAATTGATGTCGCGTGATTGGAGTTTAATAAATCCTCATTATGAGATTAAGCAATCATAGAGCCTACCTGAATACCATTTATCGTTCAGTTATACTTCAGTGTCATCTTTCGTTCAGTCATACCTGAATTCTTTTATTGATACGGAACGCATCAAACGTTAGCCCCACGAAGTTACGGCACAGAAATTTGTGTTTATTAATAATTATTAGCCTATTCATGATGTCTCATTGATTAGTATTTAATAAATCGTTATTTGAGAATATGCTGTTAATATAATGATCACGTGTGAGCTGGTTTTCGTTCAGTACCTATATAGTTGAATTAAACTTTTCGTTCAGTCATACCCGAATACCATCATGGCTACGGAACACATCAAACATTATCGCTACGAAGATACGGCACGGTAATTTATGTTAATAAATAAGCTAATCCTAATTCTAAGGAATGCTATTGTTATTATCATGCTATGAAAAATTATAAACAATCGGGGATCTTCACGACGTATTGGCCCTATAAAGTACACACATGTCTATCACATGTTGCGTACGTGACACTAATTGACAGGTTTCTTAATAGGAAGGGACATAATTCTAGTTATGGAATGGCATGTTTCAACTATCCGGAATTTCGTTAAACCTCACGATCATATCGTGAAAGGGAATATGCGGATAATCGAGGCTCCACTGTATTTTAAATAATATATTACAAGGGAAATACACTAAACTATATCATCCAGTACAACATTGAAGAAGATTCATTGTAAAACAATATATATTTCTCTACACCAATACCATCGCTCTGACAAATAAAGATAGCTTGCCAGGCAAGGTAATATACCCCCACTGGCAGCTTTTGAACATAAATATTTAGCAGTACAGTAACAATCACCAGTATGGAATATTCAACCTTCAGTCATACACTTCTTTTGAACTCTTTAGCACAACACTGAATAATATTGAGTGTGAGTGAGTTATTGCCCTAGTTCTTGAAAACGTGTTCAATCTTTAGCTCGTGAAAACTCTAGAAGGCAAGTATTCAATCTTCGGGACTGAATAATCAAACCAAGTTTCGTCAAAATCCAGAAAGAGTCATGCCTTTTAGTGTTTAAGAGCTAAATTTGAAAGCGGTTTCAAGAGCAAGGGCAATAACTCATACTAAATACTTTTTCAATTCTTCTGATTTTCAATAGGGTTCATCCTTGGGTGATTACGAACATTCACACCAAGTTTCTTCATAGTGATTACGTGCTACAAATTGAACGCGTTTTCAATAGCAAGGGCAATAACTCATACTAAATATTTTTCGATTTTTCTGATTTTCAATAGGGTTTATTCTTGGGTGATAACAAACACTCATGCCAAGTTTCGTCAAAATCCGTCAAGAATTGTCCCTTCTAGAGTGTTTAAGAACTAAAAATTAAACGTGTTTTCAAGAACAAGGGCAATAACTAATACTAAATATTTTTCAATTTTTCTGATTTTCTATAGGGTTTATCCTTTTGTGATTACAAACACTCACACCAAGTTTCGTCAAAATCCATCAAGAATTATGCCTTCTAGGTTGTTTACAAGCTAAAATTGAACGCGTTTTAAAGAACAAGGGCAATAACTCATAGTAAATATTTTTCGATTCGTCTGATTTTCAATAGGGTTCATCAGTCAAGAATTTTGCCTTGTAGAGTGTTTACGAGCAATTGTGGACGGACGGACTGAGGGAATGAGGTGAAGGCAATATACGCCCCCATTTCATGTGGGCGTATAAAAAGGCCTAGCCTACTGAATGACAAAGTTGCCAATCAGAATACACTATTCAAAAAGAGTTCAGAGCTAGGTAAAAAATTATCTGAGGTGACGAAAACTCAGAGACAGAGAAAGATAGAACAAAGAAATAGAGGCAGTGAAATGTGACTTCAAAGTGACTATATTAGTTAGGCTTATAGTAATACTAATAGGCCTACTGTGTTAATTAAACCATACTTATACAATTAAACCATTCATCACCATTAGGCTCAAACAATTTAGTAGGAAAATTTTCGATGAGCCTGAGGAAATTTATTAACTGTTTCATAATTTTTACATTGGGCCGATTTTGCCTATAGGTTAATCCGACTCTGGTTGTTGTTCCTTTTGTATTTGCAGCCCATTGCGTTTTTGAATATCAGCCCATGCTCTAATAACCTAATAATTAATCAACGATGTATAATTGAGAATTTAACACTCTCAACCATAGTCACTGAACTATATTAATTAATGAGACATATTTACGTTTAGTTTCTCAATAACAAACGTTTATTCCTATTTTTTAAGGACACCATCAACCACATGACTGATCATGTGATCAAATATGGTGGAAATTGTTGGTAAGGCAATTCGAATGACGATATTTCAATGATTTTATTAAATATCTGGGTAATTTTACAATTATACATGATAAAAATCGAGAATATGCTACATTAGGTATATTTTCAGTTATCCGTTTAATGTCTAAGAACAAACTACTTGGTAAAAGTAAGCAATTGACTCCCAACAAGCCACACAAACAAGCATGATTTTTTTTATACTTTAACACGCCCCCTTTATGTTTTGTTTTATCCTGAGCAACAATGATATATGACTGGTCATTATGCAATTTCAAAAATAATTTTTCTGAACTAGAAGAATTATTTGACTTAAAGTGAAATATGACTATAGATCTAAATAAATGACTGTCCGTTTGCATTCTTCACTTTGGTGATACCATTTGATCAATATTTAACATGTAGACAATATCATATCTTGATCAGATAAGCCACAGTTGATATTAGTACTCCGAAGTTCTGACTAGACATAAGCTTAATGAAGGAATTGGGGATAATTGTAGGTGATATGAATGATGAATTACATACATGTATTGTTTTTTTACAGTTTTGATTGAATAGACCTGTTGAATCACAGTTTCAATGACCATAATGAGTAATCAGATATATAATGTACAGACAATACCTCCAGATCTACGTAGGGAGGAGACCATCCTGCAAATAGCAGATTCATTAGACTATCTAGATAAAGTAGCCAATGATATTTTCAAAAGAATTACCGCAAAAGTTGGTGACAACACTAGTCGACTACAAAAAGTTAATGATAGAGTTAGGCTGGCTGAGGCCAAGGTGAACAAATTAACTGGAAGTAACAAAGCTACTAAGGTTCATGCAAGTGCCAAGTATCCTATAGCTGAAACATTAGAAGAATATACAAGTACTTTTGGTAAAGGTGCTAATTTACGTGAACCCAAGCATCCTCACTATAGATTACAAAGTAAACATCAGAATGTGGATGACAGAGTTTTTCGTGATAAGTTACAGTATTATAATGTACATTTGAATGTTAAAAAACGTGCCCGAGATGGTAATAATATAGAAGAAGGATTAGGAGGGTTACCAAAAGGTCTACCATCTGTCAGTTCTTTATTATTATTCAATACATCAGAAAACCCGTGAGTAACATCTTTAAGTTCAGCAAGCATTTTTACAGCTTTCATCATTGTCATAAATCAGTTTCATTTTTAAAGATGAAGTTTCAACATCATTCTAAGCTTTTTGCTTTTGAATTTTTATAAGCTTACTGATAGTCATACTGGTACATCAGTTGTAGTTGTATGTATGCAATATGTAAGCTACTAAGAGTTTAGACATGTATTTAGACTATATTTATGGATTTATGATCCATTGATGGCATATTAGAAGCTAAAGATAAATAGGAAAATTTTTATGGATAAATATTTTTACAACAATTTAAAGAGGGTTCTCATTTTACATAATGTTATTTTGCTTTTTTTTTTTTATTTATTTTGAAATTGTGTGATTTTTCAGTTACAAGAAGTATGTAATGTTAGATCCATTAGGTGTTGTTACTAAAACACGATCAACATTGGAACACGACGAGGCAGGGCTTGCTGATGCTCCCAGCACTATTGCACAGAGTGAAGAAATGTTACAACTGAAAACTGAAAGTTATTCTTACATGCCAGATATTGGAGAGGTTCCCGAAATTGCTGTTCCAGATTTCTTACCAAATTTATTAGGTATATAAACAATAGTACACTATTTCTAATCATGTGCATATACTACATTTTAAGAAGTTTGATATTTAAATCAAATGATATAATATCATAATTTGTTGTTGGAGATTTTTTTGGAAAGAGGAGGGTATGCCCTTTGTCTCCTCAATAACAAAGCTCAGTATTTTCTTTATTCCATCATTCTAGCAATGGCTTAATTTTAGTGGCTTTCTGTTATTCATCAGTACAGTAACTGGTAATTTGTTTATGTCCTTTTAGGTGTTGCGGATGATTTGTCTTTTGGTGTTGATTTATTATCATCATCAATAGCACCATCAGTTAGAGCTACCAGCAACATGCCAGAACTACCTTCCATCTTACCGGAACCAGATGCCATTCCATCAGGACCTGCTGAATTACCAGGAGTTGTACTAGATGTATCAGGTGGACCCCCACCACCAGGGCCGCCTCCCCCTGGCCCCCCTCCACCTCCTCCACCATCAGGACCCCCTCCCCCACCCCCTCCTCCACCTGCTGAGGCACCTCCTCCCCCTCCTCCTGGACCACCTCCCTCCATTCAGATACAGGATGCTCCTCCAGAAGTCTCAGCTCCATCAGATGGAAGAGCAAGTCTTCTAGATTCCATTAGAAATGCTGGTGGTCTTAAGAAATTAAAGAGTGGTAAAGATAGAAAGATTGCCAGTAAAAAGAAGAAGAAAGAAGAGACTGAGTCTGGAGCATCCTCGGCCAGTGCAGGAGGTGGTGGTGATTTAATGAGTGATTTATTTTCTAAGTTGACTATGAGGAGAAAAGGAATATCTGGTACTGGAAAGCCAGAGAAATCTGAATCCTCAGTGACCAGTGGAGGGGGATCAGCAATGGATAAGATATCATCCATGATTCCTGCACCACCGGAACCATCAGAAGATGCCTCAGCTGGTGGTGATGATGATGACTGGGATTAAAGGCAACACTTTCAGTTAAACTCATACATTCTCAAATATACACTTGCTTCTTATTATTCACTTTACAACTGAGAGAACTTGATTCACTTGAATAAGACTGCATAAAGGTCCATCCAGGCCAGTTTCTACTCAATCTAATTAAACTTAGATTACAATCTCATATCTTTTATTGTTTTCTGATATTTTTTGATTGGTTAAAAATATCATCATTTAGACAGGCCTTTGGTAGAAAACTTGCCAACTTACACTTTACACTAAAAATATCAAAAGACAAAATAAGATACAAAAATATAATCTAATTTCAATGACATTGGTTTCTGCCTCTCTTCTATGATGATAGAGGCCTGAAAAATGAACTTTATCACTCTGGCTATTTTACCAGCTAATTAATGGTAAAGCAAATGAATAAATCAATCTATCCATTTTAAAGTAACTTATATAAAATATATGAATATAAATTATTGGACTATGTACTATTTTCACATATTTCTGATTGAACTGTTATTTTTGATGATATTTATGAAAGTTTTGCAGTTTTAATCAACATACATGCCTGTTAATTATGTGAAAGTTATTTGAATTAATTTATTGTGAGCACAGATCAAAGGTGATATAGTGAGTTCTAAATGATAACTATTCTGTCTGAAAAAAGGTGTTGTTATTGGTTCAAGAGTGGTTCAGCTTTAGGTATGCTGTATTTATAATATAATATAATATAATATGTGCTTAGGAGATTTTGACTTGATTTAATCATGGTTTGTCAGGACTTTCTTCTTGTGATTACTTGAAAGTTTCATGGCAACATTTGATATATTTTTTAACCTCTCTCAACATTTATTTTCAACAAATCAAATTAATTTTTTCAAAATGGTATATTTACGATCAGGATCACATGACACCATGTCATATTTACATTGCTTTTAATTCTATATTTATAAGATATCTAATTTGCAATAATAACTATAGAAATGAAAGGGCAATGGTATAGAGAGGTAGTTTGACACAAGTCCAACATAAGCCTTGGATCTTATGGTACTTTGCAAAAGGAACTGCAAAAACGTAAAAATTTGGTGCTAGAGACCTAGATAATAATAATCAGTTTTAATTGTAATATTATACTGGAGATATTTTGTTGAATTTATATTAAATATCAAATAATTTAGTTTTTATGACCATAATATGAAATTATTTTGCATCCTGCTTGTCTGTCTGTCTTGTTATGCAGTAAGAGATTTTATGTGAGCATGATTAAATTGGGTTTGTTTGAATTGACGAGATTTCAGATAGAATGGGTTGTGATGCAAGTGACTTTTTAGTAATTGCTCTATCTTTGTTACACACATAAAAATGTTTAAGAAAAAGGATCAGTTCAATATAAACTTTCATAAAAAGAGGACTTCCACAAATCCTTTGTTTAAATATTGATTATATATCCTAATTATATGTTGACATGGAAATTTCAGTCTTCCTCTGATTCTGGACTGATATAGTAGGGGATATATGAGATGCTAAGTTTTTTAAAAAATTTTAATCACAGAAATAATAACAGTATTTAGAGTACATACAATGGAAATACAAGTAATAATGCCCTGTCACAGCATTTTTGGAATGAAACCTGTAGGGTATACAACAAAAAGCACATATATTTGTTTTATGCATTATGCAAGACTTAGATGCAAAACCAAAGAATAAGAACATGATATCTGAAGGAAAATTCAATAACAACATTTCAAATGATAAAAAGTTATGAAATATAATGTAGATGAACTTTCATTCAAAGTCAAATAAAAAAAAAAGCAATGATATATGCACCAAAATGTTTTGACACATACTTTTCATAGTCTGACAGGGGAGACAAGATACTTATTGTTTTTATGTACAAAATGATGTAGTAAATTGTCAACATGCATACACTACAATATCTAACACTCAACAGAGGAAAGTTTAGATTAATTATCTTCTACATATAATTTATTACAGCAAATTCAAAAACATGCTACCCTAAAAAACCAATAAACATAACAAATGTCTTTAAACTGAATATCCCCCATTAAACGATGGAAAACTGAACTTTTGAAATCTGGATTTATCATTCATTACCTTTTTTGGGCATCTAATATATTTTCAAAAATTATAGTCAGAAATAATGCCCTGATTTCATCAATTTTAAACAAAATTTTATCATAAAATATTCAGATATTTTAATATTTTCTTTCTGATTATGCCTATTCACTTAAATGTGATAGATTGAGCAAGATAGGCCAACACCTACAAAAACAAACAAACAAGTAGAACTTGTAAAATATTCATTCTGGATCATCAGCCAGTTTATTATGGACTCTCATTAAACTTTTGAAATATTTGACAGTTTTAACACGTAATTCCAGTGTGGCATCCTCATCACAGATAAAAATAGTATGTGGATGTTGTTGGAAGGCAGAAACAGTCCACATGTGGTTAATACCCTCCTCTATAGCTTTATGTAAGGCAAAAGATTTATGAGCTCCTGTTATTAAAATCATCACCTGCAAAATAAAATATCATAAATTCTAGAAAACATGTGAATAAAAATAGTTTATTACACGCCTGATTCTCCGAACAAGATTTTCCTAATTAGGTTTGAAGAACACAAGTTATAAAGGCTTATCTGGTCAAAGGCTATGAATATTCCAAATAAAAATCTTTCGTTTGAAGAGCAAGGTAGAGCTTACTAAACTGCTATCACCTATTGGAGTGAGAACCTAACTTATAATGAAATTGTACAAACCTCATTGGCATCCATCACAGTGCCAACTCCAACAGTAAGAGCTTCATTAGGTACCTTCGTTACATCTCCACCAAAAAATCTAGCATTAGCTTCTATTGTATCTTGTGCTAATGTCTTAACTCTAGTTCTAGATACTAAACTAGATCCTGGTTCATTGAAAGCTATATGACCGTCTGGACCAATACCTTTAGAAAATATATTTACAACTTTAACAAACCATCATAATATGTCTTTTAATATCGGTATTCATCAGTGAGCATTTTTCAGGTGATACTAAATATGAATACTGATAAAATGTGTATGATTGCACAGAATTATGAAAACGTATGGACAGATGAAAAACAGCTGGGTTAAGTTTCATAAAAGAGAATGTTGTTCTGTTTCAGAATCCATAAAATTTTTACAATAGAATAACTACACCAAACCAATGAATGGTGAATAAGTTTATTAAACATGGAGATAGGAAAACTATGGTTTAATGGTTTATCTGTCTGACCATTTCAGAAACTGATAAAATATTTTATATATTGAACTTGAACAAATTGAGACTATCCTTTTTAAAAAACATTTAAAAATTCTTATACAAACCTCCAATGAATAATTCAATTCCACCAGCTTCTTTAATTAATCTTTCAAATTCATTACACTCAGCCACTAAATTAGCTGCAGTACCATCTAGAATATGGGCGTTTTTAGGGTCTATATCAATGTGTTTAAAGAAATTATTCCACATAAAAGAATGGTAACTTTCAGGATGGTCTCTTTCCAAACCTGGAATACAAATTAAAAACCTTTATAATCCATTATTTTGATAAGATAAGAGTAATTCTAAATAAGGAGAATATAATTTCTGATTAAATCCTAGCTATTTTAAACTTCACTTGCTGAAATTTCTTCATGAAAGAAAATTGCATGACAGGTGTCCCATTTTGTGAGTTAATTTGAGTCTTGAATATATGTAAATTCTTTCTGAGACAAAAGTATGATTAGTCAAAAAAAATGGTGCACATGTCACTTTAAGGTAGAAAGCACCTGATTCTGAGAAACAAATTCATTCCTTTATTTTTGGAAGTTTCTTTATTTCCTTATTGGACAAAATTGTTCTTTCTAAATCTGTACCTATCATAATTTCTATTTATTTATTTTTTGAAGTATCAGTACTTGAACAAATATAAAGCTACAATAATTTTTCTACTTACCTACATATTCATCCATATTAAAAGTTATGACATATTTAAATGATAATTTATCAGCTTTATGTAATTTGATTAATTCTTGATACATTCCTAAAGGTGTGCTACCTAAAAATAAAAAATAAAAATTTATTACAAACTATTTGGTAGTCAAAGATATAGAGAAAGCAGATATTTAGCCACCAGCAGGATTGAAGTATTTCAAACATTTAGAGTTAGCAACAATTAGAACAGTATTTTTTAACAGAGCTCATGAAGGTACAAATTTGAATTGTTGCCTAGTGGGCAATTAAATTGGATGTTGATGGATCAAAGGAAAGCTAGATCAATATTTCCCCTGCCTAAAATTTCTTGAAATTCTTGAACCGGAACATTTTTATACGTCCACACGTAAGTATGGGCGTATATTGTAGTTGCCCGTCGGTCTGTCCGTTCACATTTACCTCGTGCTCGCTTCACTCTACAGGCTACAATTCCCTATGGATTCTTTTGATCTTTTGTATTGTCAATATCATTATGAAGATGTGCACTATTGAATTTGGTGATGATCCGATGATTTTCTTTAGAGATATCGCATAAAACTCTGATATCGCATTTTTTCACTTTTTTGGCTAGTGCTCACTCTACAGGCTACGATATAGAGTTTGTTTTACAGTTCACATTTATCTCTTTATCAAGCTGCTGGTGGGTGTATTCACTTGCGAGACTTGCCGCAAGCCTATGTTTAATACTGTTGTACTTACATTAACCAATGCATAAGATATAATGCTCTATTTCCAAGAGTAAAATTTAATACTTAAATCTAATTATTGAGAAATAATAAACAATGCCCAGACCTTACATATTTGCACATTGAAGGTTAGAGGTCATGTCAAATGTTAGTAATGTGAAATGTTAGTAATCTCAATGTAAAGAGTTCGTAGAGGTTATCATAAGGACAAGTCAATTTATCTTTCAACTATTATTGATAGTATTACCAGGTCAGTGTAATAGTCAATTACTTTTTAAACAGATTTTATAACTAAACTCAGCCATTCTATTTAAAAAGACCAGGCTAAATATGAATCCACATGTTTATACCGTTTCTTGAATCAAAATACAATTTAGTCTTGACCACTATTTGAGTAGCTTTAATGCACTGGAATCTGTGCTCACCAAAGCAATAATACATGAATGCAACTTCGAGCTATATGTTATATCACACTGCATATAAATTAAAATGTCAACACTCATCATTATTCAATTTTCTTAATTCATCTCACCTGCAATCCACCTCAATAAAAGTCAAACTTTTCTCTGACATATTTGTGGGAGATGTGCATTCTATTACATTAGATAACAACATCTGGTTATAATAATTACAGAACAGCTGTTGATTTATCATTAATACACTATCTATGAATTGATTAATTATATTCTCTTTATTACTTTAAACAGCACAAAACAACATAATTGGTACATGCATGTAGTTACAACTTATTCAATAAGAACTAGATTGATAGAGGCATTAAGATGAAGCCAGATTACAGGATCAATCATTACCTCAATAGAGCTGTTTGATGAGATTTGGATTGTAGAATAAAATAGGCACTCTGTAAGAAACACTTATTAATTGGGCATAATAAAAAGTGACCAAACCTGTTGGTAGTCCAAGAGTAAAATATCTCTCCGGTCCAGGTTTAAAATCAATTATACGCCGTCTGACATATCTAGCTGCCCATTCTGATACATCTTTATACTTATCTAATATTACTAGCTTCATCTGCAAAAATACAAAATAAATAAGTTACATGTTTTTGGTTTTGTTTTTAATATTTCTAAATCACAAACCTATCAAAAAATCCACTTATGATAAGATTACCCTACCCATTAAAATTAATATATCTTAAATAATCTTTTCTGGTTTCCTAAACATTTTGCAGAACGTGTCTCAATATGCCTAGAGGACATATCTATAATAATAACTTTGTGATATTTTGGTTAAGGGAGAAACCTCTGACAAAACCTTAGCAAAACAATTTATCATTATCATAAAGTGTTTATGAGCCGATTTATCAGACAGGCTAATTTCCTGTATGACATAGAGCCTAAAAATGCTGTGTCCTTCATGCAATATATGTAATTCTTCACTAACATAGGCATATTGAAATGGTTAAAATCATAGATTGCTGCCAAAATACAGCTGGTATTTGGTGTAAACAAGTTGCATTGGAAAGACCTCTTTGAATTAAACATTGGGAAAATACACTATACAGCCTGTGTAGGGCCTATGAATAATACACACTAGAAAATAACTTGAAAACACTTGCCTTGTCACTTACTTTTATTTATAATCCTGCGTATCTTACGAGGTCAAGTGAATAACTACAGCGTGTAGCTTTGTACATTCAATTTAGATAAGAAACACAAAGGAAACACAGAGATACAACTTGCTATCAGCTGATTTCCTGCGCAATGTAAATACGACTGGATGATCATTGATTTTTACTTTATTATCAAGACTTTCATAAACATGCAAGGGAGCTAATTTTCCAGAAGACAGTTAGCTCCCTTTGACCAGGAAAGTTATACTACAATATGGTCCGTTGTAGATTTGTCAGAAATCTTCCGATGAGTTCCCTCCCTCCCCCTTAAATAAGTTCTGTATGGTGTCACTTGCCTAGCTTACCCCCACGGAATACTTGATGCCTCTCCGCGACCGGTCAACTCAGTATCCCTTTCGAAGAGTCCATGTAACTGATATCGTTTATTTGGTATAGCCTACCTATTATAATATGTAGTTCGATTTTATATGGCACAAGCTCAGAAAGAATTAATTTTGTGCATCAATTTTAGTTTGAAAGCTTTCGTAGTTTTAAATTATGCATACACCACACTTAGGCCTACTCTAATCCGACCTATCTAACCGTTCTTCGGACTGCAATTTTAGAGCCAGACATAAATGTATTTTTTGTTGGAGTTCCTCCGACCCACGGGTAGGGACAGATTTGTCGGGCAGACTAACTTCGAGTGATTAAAATGTAAAATCATTGAAACGTTGTGTAGGCTACCAAAACAAAATTCAAAGATTGATAATATTATGTAAACCAAAACTCACAAAATTAATGTTAAATTTTATCACTAACCTTATCCTTCTTTTCTAACCCTACTTTACTCATTTTCTAATACAATGACGATATGCATACAATTGGCTAGGCCTATATCGCTATAAGGATATAAAACACTCGATTGGCTCAAATTTCAACAAGCGTGTTATAGAGGTACACATAGGCATTTACTTGAGTGCACAAATCTGCATAATCATCAGAGATGCATTAGATTTTGGGTACCTTTTGCAATGATAATGGTTCTTTGGTTCAACCAGGACTGTTTTAGACGAATATTTTGAAATGTACATGTAGTTAAATATGTTTCGGCTACTTAGATAATACTTTTCAGGAAAAGATAAATATTTCTTAAGAGGGAAGACAAGAAAATGTTATAAATGAAACAAAGAAAATATTGGCTATATATGGACATAAAGCATCCAATTAGATACATCTGTAAAATATAATTAGAAACCAGCAGCCGAATTTGATTGAAATTGGAAGAGTAGCCTAGGCTTTTCATTTATTACAACCATGGTTATTCAATTCAGTGTGTGGCGAAAAGTAAATATTGATTTACGGTTAAGATATAGGGTCAACTTGCTCTTCAAATGTTTTCGAGTTTTTTTACTGTGTGATATTTTTCCTATAGGGTCATGGGTTATAAACAGAAAACAGCCACTATCTTTTTATCTAATTCTATATATTTCAAAAGCCTGGTTTAACACAACCATTGACGTAGACATACAGTCCAAAGTATTATCCTGAAATACGGATTGTTTTTGCCAATTTAAATAATTAGCCTACTGATGTTCTAAAAAATGTAAGCAGAACCTGTCTTCCGTATGCCTACCATTGTTACAAGAGTCAAAATAATCAAGGAACCAGTTTGACTGAAAAGCAAAGTAGCATATCAACATATTTCAGAAAAAAAATCATTTGGCTTGCCATATTTTCACAAATGAATGAATAGTATCACTTCCCGAAAAACGATTCTGTGCTCATGTAGAACAGAAAACGTTTTACTACAGACTGAACAGATTTCTTCAGATTAATAGTGTTTCGTATTGCCTTTTGATATTGTACTTGTACTAATTAAATCCAATTGTATATATTGCAAATTTAATCTTTATTACTTTAAGATAATAGATACATAATATGGGAAATTTATGTTTTTTTCTTTTGACCATTGCCAGTGAATTTAAAGGAGAGTTCTTGCTATGCCATCTGTCAGGATTGTTCAACAACGGATCTCTACGGTTTCAGATTAGAAATGATACAGACTATTTGTACGCAGCTTGTAAATAAACCGGCATGGCTGTGCGGCTTAGCAGACAGATTTTTCAAAAAGTTATTTATCGGTGTACAGCCAATAATCATTCACCAGTTTTCAAGTCATTTGTTAAAGCGACTACTAAAAGACAGAATGTTAGATTTAGCAGTTCTGGAACGTCTGTCTCGACTCTATCGTTCAACAGAAATAAGAAATTATGGGGCCAGTTGATCGCATCAGGTGGAATATTCTCGGCTACTTTCGGTTTAGTTTTTATAAGAAAAGCTGAATGTCAAGTTGATGAACGGAGTAAGTAGACTACCTTTCTAGTTTCTTGCCATATTATTTTTTTTTCTTTTTATGTCTCTGATACTATATTTATAATATACTTCAAATAGTCATAGGGCTCTGAATGCAATCACACTTTCTGTTTCACCATCCATGGCCGTCAGTAATTGAGTCAAAAGTCATGACAATGCCAATAGTAGAAGCATGATTATATAATCTCTTCTCTATGTTGAACAATTGGGAAATATATTTGAAAAGCCTTATATTTTACCTTAAAAAAACATTGAGCATTGAAATGAATATAGTTATTAATTATGACAGATAATCAACTTCTAGCTGCTATTAAAGATGGGAATAATCGAGAAGTTAAAAGGTAAGCTAATCTTTCAATGTCAAATAGTAGATCTTTGACTATTAAGATTTTAAAAATGAATTGTATTAAAATTCAAAAGATTTGTCCAAAAATATTTTAATTAAATGATGAACTGTACCTAATTACTTTTTGTCCCATACAATTTCCTTTACACTTATAAAACATTTATTATAGATAAATATGTTTCAGGTTATTGAAAGGTGGTGTATCACCTAATTGTAGACATGTTTTAGGTTGGACAGCGTTACAACAGGCAGCAGTCAATAGAAATCTTGAGTGAGTAAACTGTTTATCTATCATATCCTCACCAATAGATATCTGCCTCTGTATAACACGATTGCAAATGAGCCAAAAAAGAAAAAAAATGGCAAGACAATTAAGAGTCAATATGATAATACTATTATGCAATGCATTAGGCACAGGCCAACACCAGAATATAGTTTTAAAGAAAATAAAGGAATAAGAAAGAAAAAGAAATTCTATTTTCTTTTGGTTAATTTTGTATTTCATTGAATTTGTGCCAATACCTGTATATAAACATATCAGATATGAGAATTCAGAGTTTGATTCTGGATGATATACATCTATATTTCGAATTATAGAGTGGTAAAGTTTTTATTAGAAGTTGGAGCTGATCCTAATCTAGGAGATGAATTTGTAAATGTTAATATCACATCTAGGGAGAAACGACTCAACACTTTACAAGGTGTGTATATTGTGGAAATAGTTACATTGTTTCATATTTATATTTCTTATTTCAAGCTATGTAAATTCAAAGCACTGAGTACTGGAACAGGTGTTTTCAGCTAGGTAGGGCATGCACAGCCTTGGTATTGGCTGAAAATTGCATGGGGGAATTTGACTAGCTGTTATGATAAGGTTGGCCATTGGTGCAAATTTGACTGTAATAGATGTTAGATGACAAAAATCATCATTGTTTTCTTTGGATCTTTTTGTAGTTTTTACCATCATATTGACCTCATAGCCAATATCTTCATTAATTGCTATTTACAGTGTTGATGGCCAGAGAAGAAGATTTTTGTGATAGACTAAATAATGCTGCTAATTTTAAAGACTGTACAGCTCTACATTATGCTGTGCTGGTTGATGATAGAAATATAGTGGAAACATTACTTCAAGCTGGTATGAGCATTTGAATTAAAAGGGGTTGTAAAGGAGTTTTCTATTCCAATATTCTATCAGATTTCTGTAGTTCCTGCAATTCCACTAAAACTAGGTGTTTGATGCTGTCACCAATCGCGAAGGACCTTATGTGATACAAGCGTATTATGTGATTATCGATGTCATCAAATACTTAGTTTTAGTGTAATTGCAGGAACCACACAAAAAAAGAATGGTGCAATAGTGATATCAGTGCTCCGAATACACTTAACAAAATTAGAAAACCTGTTTACAATCTCTTTAAGGGTAGATTTCCTCAAAGCAAATCATAATTATCCTAAATTTAAAACCATGATTTATTTATTGTAAGATATTTTGAAAACTGCATATGAAAATTTTCAAATGCAAAAAACATTTGTCACAGAATGAATTTAGATCGATAGATTGGCATGTAAGGTTGGTTAATTTTACATTTGAAATAAACTTCCTTTCAGAAATTATACAGGAAAATAATTTTCACTTTCAACTGAAAATTTCCCTGTGTAAAATCTCATTGTTTAATTAGAGCCCATTAAAAAATTGTATCCTTTTCACCCATAGTTCATCAATTACGTTTCAGGTGCTGACCCAACAAAAGAAAATGCATTAGGACATACACCTATAATGTATGTTAGATCTAATACAATGAGAGATTTATTACAAAACAGAGAGAAAGAGGTAGATCTTATTTGGTTAAGAGCGTGTTTGCACTTTTTATACGCCCACATCTCTCTATGTGGACGTAAATTGTCGGCACCCCTGTCCATCAACATTTGCTTGTAAACGCTCTAAAACTAGATTTTTTGATGGAATCAAATGAAATTTGGTATGTGTATACATATTCATAAAACAAAGATCAAGTTTGAATTAGAGATATTTTTGACCATCAGAAGCAGGGTTATTGCCCTTGCCCCAAAATCTTGAATATGCTATTACTCTCTTAGTTTTCAACCGATTTTGATGAAACTTAAAATGGATGTTATTGTACCTAAATCTAAAGGTTTGAGAAAGATTAGTTTACTTCTGATTAAATTTAAGGCTTTTTCAAGATTTAGGCCTCTTACGTCAGTTTTGAGGAGTTATCGCCCTTTAACCTCTATACAGTAAGTGCTTCTATCAACATCAATTGCTCGTAAACACTCTAAAAACTAGAGTGTTTGAAGGAATCAATTGAAATTCGGTATGTGCATACATATGCATGAAACGTCCGTCCGTCCGTTTGTAGTAAACGCTCTAAAAACTAGATTTTTTGATGGAATCAAATGAAATTCAGTATGTGTATACATATTCTTAAAACAAAGATCAAGTTCCAATTTGAACTATTTTCGACAGTTAGAAGCAGAGTTATTGCCCTTGCCCCATAATCTTGAATATTTACCATCCGCATGCCGTGGTGGGCATATATGGCTGTGGTCCACTATCTTATATATTAGTATGTCAATAAAAATGAGAAAATACAGGCACAGCAGATATCTGAAATATATTTGAAAGAAAGAAATAAACATTCACAAAAGAATCTTTCTACTAGCTGGCCTTTGGCATTGATCTTTCTCTGATTATCCATATCCATTTAGAGCTTGGTCACTCAACAACCTAGAACCCCCAGTCACCATGTGTTTGACGTAACCAAGCAAATGAGATCATGTGAAGAACCAAAAGTATAATCGGCTGTGCGACAGAATGGTGCAAATTGAAAAGTTTAAGTCACTAATACACATACAAAGGTTATTAAACATCTTTTAAATTCATGTTTAGCCTTGATCAATTGTATTCTAACTTTATTTAGTTTCAAGAAAAGAAATTAGAACGTGAAGCTGAAGAAAGAAGAAAATATCCGTTAGAAAATAGACTAAAGGAATTTATTATTGGACAAGAAGGTGCTATCAATATGGTAGCTTCAGGTTTGTTTGTCTAATCTAATGATGTAGGTAGATTCCAAGGTACGATTCAAAACAAAAACACATGCAGTCCACTTTATATTTAGTTTGTTTATGTAATTTACTTAGTGAACATGATATAAGTTTTGCTTCAAATTATCACCTTTCAGAATTAAAAATAATTTTTGATAGATCTGCAGTTAAATCAAGTGGTGTCAATAAAATATCAGTATCTCTTGAAATATATAGGTCGGTCAAAAACAGTTATATTTTACTATGAAGTATCATGTGTTTGAAAGTGAAGCTATTTGAATACAGTAGTAGTAGATATATTATTTATACGATTTCCTACCTTATTTCAGCTATTCGACGTAAAGAGAATGGCTGGTATGATGAAGATCATCCACTAGTATTTCTCTTCCTAGGTTCTTCTGGTATAGGTATGTTTGGGACCAAATTTATATATATTATTCCGATCTTAGTTAGGTTTAGATGGTTAAAGTGGTATTGACAATAATAAATGCCTGTCTGAATAGATTCACTTAATGATAATAATCCTGTTTATTTTGTATTTTAAAAGTAAGGTAGAAGCTGTATTAAAGATTCAGGTTATAAATGAATTCTTTGATATTTTGTTGTAGGTAAAACTGAATTAGCTAAACAAGTGGCTAAATATCTTCATAAAGATATACGTAAAGTGAGTGTATTAAATATTCATTATGTTTTTATATACATTTATGCTTATAGTAGATAGTATTACAGATTTAAAAAATAGTTTATGATTAAATAGTAGTTGTAGTGTATGTTGAGCAACTATGTGGCACCAGGCAGGAAATGCTTAATCTTCTTGACACCTGATACCACTTTTCATTATCAGATGCTTGCTTGCAGCTAACAGTGTTTTTCCATCGTGTTCGGGTTTTGTTTTGCGGTTCAGATTGTTAGTACTTGGTGTATATCTATAGTAATGTTTGAAGCTCAATTGCCATTTGTTCTGCCCCTGAACAAAATGAATTCAGAAGCACACCCTAATGCATACATCTTGTTTTTATTTCAACAGGGTTTTATACGCATTGATATGTCTGAATACCAAGAGAGACATGAAGTAGCCAAATTTATTGGTTCACCACCTGGTTATGTAGGTCATGAAGAAGGGGGACAACTGACAAAAAAATTAAAAGAATGTCCAACTGCTGTGGTATTATTTGATGAAGTAGATAAAGCACATCCTGATGTTCTAACTATTATGTTACAGTTATTTGATGAGGTATTTTATTTATATTCAAATTCAATCCTATTCATCTTCAATTAAAAAAAATTAAAGCTCTAAATTTTGTTTGGTTTATTTTCTGTTGTTACTTAACTTATCCTGGAAGTATTAGAGCACATGATTTATAAAAGCATAGATACTGATATTTTCATGCTATCTTATATTTTGAGAACTTTATAAAGGTGCAAATAGATGAGGTGTCTAGTGCAGTGTACAGGGGAAAACAAAAGAAGAGAAAACTTGATTTATAAGTCTGGACACTATGAAAGCATGATTCAACAATACCTCATAGTAAGCTGCATGTCTCATCTATTCCCACTTGTTGCTGTAATAGAACTCTTTTATTTGAATGTAACAAAGTTTGACTGTTATTAATTCTACAGGGTAGACTAACTGATGGTAAAGGGAATACTATAGAATGTAAAGATGCTATATTTATTATGACTTCTAACCTAGCCAGTGAAGAAATAGCACAACATGCTTTGGATTTACGTGAAGAATCAAAACTAGCAAACAAACAAAAATCTACAGGAGTTGGTAAGGTTTAGTTGTTAATGGTTTGGAAAAATTCAAAATTAAACGTTTGATATGATTATTGATGATAATATACCCATTATATACCCAGCATTTAAAAAGTTCTATAAAAGGTTTATGTCATATGTTCTCTTTCAGATAATACTGAGTTACTTGAAATGGTGACTATATCTAGAAATTTTAAAGATTTTGTTGTTAGACCCATTTTAAAGGTAGGCAGCATTTCATTTCTAACTAACATATAATTTATAGAGCCAAGAAGGATAAAATGGTCTAATTTTTCAGTGCATGGGTGGATAGGGCTTCATTGTTGTTAGTTGTTGTACACCAGAATAAATATTTGACATTATTATATTAGTCATTCAGATCTTTTTCTGTATTCTTAAGTATTTAAGTCGAATCATAACTGCAGATTATGAACGATGGAATAACTATATCCATTTCATTGATTTTGTTGTTCATTGATGTCCAGTTGACTGTAGCACTTACAGAATCTAGAAGTTTGAGAGTGATGGTTTCACAGGCTTATCATTCAAAAAACACATAACAGTCCTATATTAAAAGAGGGGTTCTTGAACAATGAGATGTTTTAAATGGAAGTTTTCTCTTTTTTCCAGAGAAATTTTCGAAGAGATGAGTTTTTAGGAAGAATAAATGAAATTGTATATTTTTTACCATTTTCAAGATCTGAACTTAGTAAACTTGTTACAAAAGAACTTGAATTCTGGGCCAAAAGGGTAAGAATACTGAATTTCATATCGAAATAAAGGAGACTGTTATACAAGCTGTATGAAATATTCAGTGGGATTTCATTCCACAATAAATATATTGTAGGTTTCAGTCTGACAATTTACATGTTTAACATTTTGATCATCAATTTTTTTTGTAATTTGTCCAATTTACTTAAACATAAAAGTATTTAGAATAGTCTTTTCCACTTAACTAGAAAAGCTTTCAAACTATAGTAAGCCTAATAAGCCTGGAATCTTAATTGATAAACATCTGAATATCCAAGATAAAAGTATCCAAACAGACTTCCCAAATAGTTTACATCAAAAAGTAGTATGGACAGCATAATATGAGCTATTGCATTGTATCTTTTTCTTGACTCAGTTGTCTTGCTATGCCCCTACCAAGTCCAATGATTCAAAACCCCCTTAGCCAATCCAGCTATCTTGATAATTGCTTTAGATGATTTGTCAATCAATTCTATACATTATTGTTCTGTATTTTGACATGTAGGCTGCTAATAAACACAGTATAGAATTAATGTGGGATCATCATGTAGTAGATGTATTAGCTGATGGTTATGATGTACATTATGGAGCTAGATCAATTAAACATGAGGTATATATATATTTCTCTTATTTTAATCTCGTAGGTTCTAGCAACCATGCTTAGATACTTTTTATAAAGAATTGCACTTTGCATTGGAACCTAGTTTTGGATTGGATTTTGGTCTGTTGGTGGCACCAGACATGGTCTTCAAAAAATGGTTATTTTTGCCTTAGACGCCAGTGCACAAAACCTAGGTTTTCAGATTAATTCCATTTGGCATCGACATGTCGGTCTGTTGGTCCACAATTGGCTTGTGAACGTAATAGAGACTACAGTTTTTTTCTGATTTTATTGTAATTTGGTATAATCATTTATGAGATGAGATCTTGGACAAATTTGAAGTTGACGTTCTTTGACTAAGGAAACCGCATCCAAATTTGTTAGTGAACACAATAGAGACATCTGTTTTCATCCAATTTAAATGAAATTTAGTGTGATCATCTATAATGATGAGATCTTTGACAAGTTAAAATTTGACGATCTTTCGATGAACTGTTTTTTAGTTATTGCCCTTGAATTAGGTAAACATGCTTCAAAATTTGTTTGTGAACACAACAGAGAGTACAGTTTTCATCCAATTTAAATGAAATTTGGTGTGATCATTTATAATTATGAGATTTTGGACAAGTTTGAATTTGGCGATCTTTCGATAAATGGTTTATTAGTTATTGCCCTTGACCTAGGAAATAACACATCAAAATTTGTTTATAAACATGATAGAGACTACAGATTTCATTTGATTTAATTTTGTGTGTTTGATTAAATCAACAATATCTAGCACAAATTAGATTTTTGGTATGATTTGACGCAGATTGGTGACCCCCCTTGATATACTGAAAAGTTATCAGGGAAGTGGGCATATCTTGCTAGGCAACCACGATTTGTTCATTTTGAAACTTTGCCATTAGGTAAAACATTGTTTTTCATTTCCAGCACTAAACTAATCTACCATGCTGGAATAATTACATTTCCATCTGTGTACAGTGCTATTAGCTTTTTTAAAGTTTTTTGTTTTTTTCTTCAGGTTGAAAGACAAGTAGTGACACAATTAGCCATGGCACATGAACAACAAATGATATCAAAAGGTGCTTCAATAAGAATAGTTGTACCAAACTATAGTGATTTAACTAAAGGGAAAAATATTTCTGGAATGGAACCAAATAATCGTGTTATTAAACTGCAAATTAAAAGACAAGGTGCTAAGGAATTTACAGACTTGAAATTTAAAAGTTCTGCAAATGCATTCAGTGTTAATGATTCTTTTGGGTCATGATAAAGTTTACTGTTATTTATATAAATAGTAAAAGGTTGATAATGTGGTAATTGGTTAATATGGGCCAGAGAGCCATTGAAAAATTCAAATATAATTTCTCACTGTTTGATCTTGCATCTTAAAGAGAGACTGAGTACATCATATTTTACAATTGGTGTAATGGTGATTTTTTTTGCATGTTGCTTCTAGATTGGTTGTCTTTGTATGTGCTTGGTCGATTAATTTCTTGTACAATATCTTTTAAGTTCACAAGCATTCCCAATTTTGTTAAAATCTAATCTAATCTAATCTAATCATAGACAATTATAGTGGAAATGAAGTCTGTAATGTACAGTCGTTCTGAAATAAATACTATCAGTCTACAATCATAAAGTCTTTTATCTTTAAACAATACAATATATATTAAATACTGTTATACACTTTTATAACAAATAGCAATTAGGCAGTTATATGACAATTAATGGGTTTTTTAAATGTCGATGTTACTGAAATAAGGCCAATTGGAAGTAGATTCATAATCACACAACACAGAATTCTAAGATCACAGGACATAACTCATTAGCACACACAGTCACAATATGTCGTATGGTCTCAAACAATTTTGAAGGAAAGAGATTTCAAAGAAAAAATGGCTGAAACGTTAAGGCTAAATTCACTGATGTCTATATAATTTGGGCTGATATGACAACAAGAATTGAGAAACAAAATGAAATAGGTCAGGGTTCTTTTGTGTTCACAAATATGTCATCTTGCCTGGCAAGCTATCTTTCAATTTCCAACTGTCAAAAACAAATAATAGTACCCATTAAAGGTATAGAATCACCAAGTCAAGATGTTCCTGAAAAAGGTGATTTTGTTGACTTAGTAGAGTTGCATTAGCCAAGACATTATCTATTCATGATCTATCAATTACAGTTTGTAGTAGTTTGTTTTAACATCCCATCAAAATAATTTTAGGATACCCACTAGATTGTCAGTACACAACATTTGTTCCAGATAACCACAAAGTACCAAAGAATGACATTAATCTGAACATCAACCTTTCAAATTCTTGAACTCCGACAACAGCACCATTAATTCACTCACAAAAAACAGTCTTTACTTTACTTACTTTATAAACGTAAACACTGCTTTATTCAGCAGGTATCTTAATATGAATTCTATGCCAAGCATTACTCAGACAACCTCTTAAATTCCAGATGCCTTCAACAGAATCTGGTTGAACATTATATGACACATCAATGGCTTTACACACAATTTCTGCCTTACCACCATGGTTCTCTGGTAATGGAACAGTAGCCTCCCACAAGGTCCAGGCCCAGGTCTTGTATGGATTCTGATTAGTTGGCTCCAGTTCTGCTGTCGTCCATGTTTTCCCACCATCTGCTGAGACATCAACTCTTATAATTCCCCTTCCTCCACCACTCCAAGCATATCCCTTAACCGTCACATCTTCTGATCCAGGTTCAATTTCTGATCCATCTGCTGGTTCACAGACAGCAGACGTTACAGGCAATTGTTGAATGGCTACAGATGTATCAAAATTAACATTATGCCAATCAATAGAGGAATTAAAGCCCTTATAATCTTTTCGTTGCCAGTGACAGGTGCTCTCTTCTTTACTTAGATATATTCTATTTAACCACTTGACTTGTCTAGCCCCCACAATACCAGGAATGATCACTCTAATAGGATAGCCATGATCTCTTGGAATGTCTGCTCCATTCATCTCGTATGCAATAAGTATATCATTCTTATACTGTCTAGCAATCTCTATTGGAATTGAAGCACCATATGGAGCTCCTTCAGGACCTTTATCCATGCCTTCAAAAACTATATGATCATGGGAACATTTGTCTAAATCAATACCAGAGGCTAGAAGAACATCATTAAGGGTAGCTCCAGACCATTCTGCATTGCTGATAGCAGCGTTATTCCAATTCAACCCCTTTACTGTTTTGATCTTGGTCATTTCACTGCGTCTATTACCAGCACACTGTACAACAGATGTTGTAGATACTTTCTTAAACTTCTTTTTTAGATCATTCAATGTCAACTTCGACTTACTTTTATCACCTATTCCTATTTCTAATTTATAAGACTTAGGATCCACAACAGGAACTGGTAGATGATTCCTTACAAAAAACAGGTCATTGGGTGTCAGGAATTTCTCAGGCAAGAGAAGAGGTGGGGGTTCCGCATTAAAAGGTTTTTGGGAGCTAGGAATGAGTATAGGGTTCCTCTTAGGTTCATTGGCGTAAGGATCATTAATATTCTTGCCTTTAGATTCTGATTTCTCTTCAACAATGTTTCCAATCCTGTATTTCTCTGCAATACCAATAATTCCAGGATGTTTGTGTACTGCATACAATTCCCAATAGGGTTCCAGAGAACCACCGGCAGCCATCATGATTTTAGAACCACCAGGGTGCTGAGTAGCATACTCTGTGATATCATATACACTATTCTTATAAGTTACCCATATCCCAGTATCTTTGGTTCTATGTTTGGCCACCTCTTCTGGTGTATATGTTGGTAAATCAGATCGCATGGCACCTGGTTCCACAGTTGCAGCTGATAGATGTTCATTTTCAAATGTCCAATATAAACCACTGCCTGTAATAAAGAACAATGCAGAGAACTTAATTTAACCATTTTAAACTTTTAAATAATAAAACAAAACATCCTGTTTGTTCATAATCAAGTAACAACTGCAATTTTGACGATAGTTAAAATTTTATCAAACTTATAACAGAAAAAAAACCAAATTATTATATGTATTTAATTGGGAAGCCGAAGAACAATTTTCTTTTTATAAAAATGTTTTTCTACTAGATATATGCTTAAGAATTTGTCAGGGTTAAAAAATCAATCCTCCAAGAAAGAACTTAGAATTGACACAGAACTCACAGGTTCTAAATCCTTTTTCTATTCAAATATTAAAAATACAAAAATTTTGACAAAAATTCATTCAAATTTATAACTCTGTTTATTTCACTTAACTGTATACATAACAATTACCCATATGTCATTCAAACATGTAAAACTTCTTTATCTTTAATCTGGACTTATATTTTTACAGACCCCAGACCATTCACAAACATGACTTTAACTGTTTAACATTTTATGCAAAATTCACCAATGTGGCCTTTCCATTTGTTGTGAACTCTTTGAAAAAAATTGAGTATAAACATAACAATTGGAAAAATTACTGACATCTTTCAAAGACAAAGGAAGTTGTCAATTTCGATTCTAAAAGTAGCCTTTGACACAGACAGTTGTCCGGGTTAAGTAAGCAAAATGATATTCAGAATTTTAATCGAAATTTGTAATTGAATATTTCAATTACCTATAACACCGGCAGCAATGATATAACCAGTATATCGTGACGTGTAATCATTAGCTTCTCTTGATTTATGTTGGCTGGAAAATGAACGCTTCGTGACTGTTTCTGTGAGCTTCGTCAATGCTGCTGTATGCCCATTAATTATCTTGTCATTTCTCTTCAGAAACCTCAATCCATTTTTGGGTATCCCTTTTGCTTTCTGTAAGTTCGGTAATGCCCTTACACCAAGCATTTTCCAGTAATAGCCAGCCGCACAACTTATTTTTTCTCTGCAAATGTTTACCTTTATCTTTCCAGGACAGGTGTCAGAGGTCAGGGCTGTTTAATACAAGGTCAAGGTCGATTTGTGTTCAACAGTCGGGTTGTCTAATTAGCGCAAGATACCGTGTATAATAAAAATGGACTGCATTTAGATATAAATAGACCTAAAGTATAAATATATAACTCTGTGGCCTTAATTCTAGAAATTCTATTTATAAGTCTATGCATCACAAAATATTTTCACTGTTAAAATAGTACTCAATACAATTATAAAGCCTATATTTTCGATTTTCAACCTTCGAGAGATTTTCAACGTGCACAACCTGTAACCACCGGGCCTCAGTTCATTGACCCATCCAAACGAATAGACGCATGTTCCTTATTTGGCCTTCAAAAATCACCACATCAGTAACACTGATGATTAATTTTCACAAAGGTTTACATTCGGCTATCCTTGGAAGTTTCCGTGAAGCTGAATCTTCTGCAGAGCGTAACTTTCACGGTTATAATAGGCCATTTGAAAGGAATGTTCCGATTGAAGTTAAAGGATTTTCTGAATAGATTGTTATCTTATGCTATAATCGTGAATATTGCAGACATGGGCCCTCTTTCGAGTGATGGAGTAGAATCACGGGAGTTGTTTATTGGCTAAACAGAACCTAAAAGGCTAATTGCAACCATATTTACATAAATGGAAGTTGACATTATGGAAGCCTCTGACATTGCTATGAGCAAAAATGTCACTGCTTTCAAACTTCATTTTGCAATATTTTCAGAGATTAAGCATGGATGTGAAAATGCCACATTAGCCATAGTTTACTTGGACGACTTCTGATATTTTTTTTAGTTCTTTACCATGATTTTAGCCCACCATGTTATAGACTGTGGCCTTCATATATTCACATAAACTTGAAGCAATCTATGTATGAACTTCATTGATAAACTATTGCCGTTTGATAAGAGAGAGATAACATTGTCCGAAGTAGGTTATTAATGGGTGTATTCTTATATAGCCATTTTAGACTACATGTACAAAATCTTTCGGATTACGTCAAATACGTAATTTGTGGCACGTGCATCATTTCACGTGGCCGGAAATCCTCCCCATTCAAAACAAACCGATCTTTCAACCAACTCAAGAAATTAAACCAGGTTAGTTGGCAATTTAAATTATTTGATGTGTTTCATTGTATGTATATGCTGAAGGTCGATTGTAATTAAATTTAATCTCTTCTTCAGGAACATGTCTGGGCGGGGAAAGGGAGGTAAAATAAAGGCTAAAAGTAAAAGTAGATCGACGCGAGCAGGATTGCAATTTCCAGTAGGAAGAATTCATAGATTACTGAGAAAAGGGAATTATGCTGAAAGAGTGGGAGCGGGTGCTCCAGTTTATATGGCTGCAGTTATGGAATATTTAGCTGCTGAGGTAAGAAGTATCTTTCTCTATATACCAAAACCTTGCTGAACATAATCTGAACATAGCCTAATCATTGTCTACCATTTTGTCTGCGTTAATCTTATTATAACCTATCAATACACCATGCAGATCTTTAGTATAATCACTTCTTTGGGTTTGGTTGGTTAAGAGATTTGAGCACTTTCAATCAAGGCATTTTTCGTTGCCTTATGGTATCAGCTTTCTTACAGTAATAGCCTACACCATTACGCACATTTATATAACATTGTCTGCCACAGTCAACGGGACCTGATTTTAATTTCAGATTCTGGAATTGGCAGGGAATGCAGCTCGAGACAACAAAAAATTAAGAATCGTACCCAGACACATACAACTTGCTATAAGGAATGATGATGAACTAAACAAACTATTATCTGGTGTTACTATAGCTCAAGGTGGTGTGTTACCAAATATTCAACCAGCACTACTCCCGAAGAAAACTGGTAAAACCGGAACAACTTCCTCACAATCACAAGCGTTTTGAATCAGTGGAAACTTTGGATTATGTATCATAAATTTATAGAAAATATTTAATTATGGCTTTGAATGAAATTTGAGAGTTAAATTGAAAATGAAGTATTGACTGTACATGTATTTATTAATTTCAATGTTATTATTTTTTACTGTTTGACAGTTTTGTGTTTTGTCCAATTTACCAATATATACCACCACCCAAAACGGACGTTTGTAATGCAGTGATTTGATTGAATTGTTCGCTAGCGAATACAGCAAATCACAGCCCCTCTAATTCTAATGTGTATGCATGTTGTCGTTGCCCCTGTCCGATTTGTTCAATTATAGCCCTTGACTTGGCCTCCAAGTTTCATTTGGATAGGAGATACTTTTTGAATAGATGAAAGCTGCCGTGAAATATCCTGTTTTGTGTGCGTATAGATTTTAGGGATATTGCTTTTAAGAAACGACATAACATATATATGTTCGTTGTCTTGTATGCCCAGGAACTGTGAAGGCCAGCGTGTTCAATAGTTTAGGACAAAAGATTTATTGATTTGCCCCCGACTAAAGAGTTCAAATTAAATGTTTGAAATTTTTAATAATTGAATAATCTGTATCAAAAAATGTAAACAATCAGAATATAAGCAATAACAAATTTCCTTTAGTACAAAGTACAAAACAGGTTAATCATTTGAAACAACAAAAACCGAAACTCGGGTATAAAAAAGAACTAAATAATTACTTTGCCTTAACTACTTGTCAAGTAAAACGTATTGCACTAACATGAAGCTATTTCTATCTAATCTTGAGATATAAAATTGTTAATCCCTCGTTTCAATTTACTTTCTGCCTTTCTTTGAGACAATGAGAAAGCTTATGTACATCTAGGTCTAGTGCTGAAAAGAAGGTAGAATTATCTCATTTTCAATATGTGCTGGTTGATTTAACATACCCATCATATTTGAATAAATTAATGACATAGGTGCATCGGTATGATTTGGAGATTGGGATGGAGGAATGGTGTCGTTCATAGCGACCACTTCAGTATCAGAACGTAGTGAAGGCGCATCTATGGAACACTTGTTCCTTGAAGTAGTATCGTCGGAACATGTGCATGCCATAACTTCTTTAGACGTTTTATAAATCACACCACAACTGTAGCACTTAAAAAGGGCATCTTTCTTGTGGTTTCGACGTTTGTGACAGTCATATCCACTACGACTCTTGTATTTATGTCCACAAAATTCACACTGGTACAAAGACACTCCACGATGTGATGCTAAATGTTCTTTATAAATAGCTAGATGTTTAAAACTTTCATTACACACATTACATTTATATGGTTTCTCTCCTGAAATGTATGGGGTATGTTAAATACTTTCACAATTGCAATATCTAGACGAATTTCAGATAAATAGATTATGACTTCACTGACGCAAATCCTTACGAAATAGTACGTACAGAAGCAATAAATGTACCCGATAATCAGACCATTGAAAAGAATTTGCAACCCGGACATGCTGAATTTTGATACATTCTCTGTTTTCCTTCATTTGTTGCCATACCATTCTACTGTATAAGGATACAAAGATGTGTATATTCTATTGGGCAAGTAAATACCTGTATGATTCCTCATGTGGACAACCAGATTACCAGTCTTTCTGAACACTTGTCCACAATAAATACATTGGTAAGGTTTCTCCCCGGTATGGATTTTAATGTGAGTCTTCAAATGAGTGCCTTGTTTAAACGTTGCACCACAATAATCACATTGAAATGGTCTTTCCCCTGAAACAGTTGAGAAAATGTACACCAATAAATAGACCCTAACCACACAGCAATGAAGCAATCCCGTAAGGATGAGTAAATAAACCAAAGATTTAAGGCGTCCAAAAAAAACAAACTATTTAAGGAAATCCAAATTAACGAGTAACTAAACAAGTCTCGAATTGAAGCGATATGAGCAATTTTAAACGCAGATGACACCAAACGAATGCGTTAGGAAATGTTCTTCCAATTTGATACAATTTTTTGATATCATCCACCAGGATATCCTTTTAAATTTCAAACATAATATCGACTGCATTTGAGGCCTCACTAAACCCTGTGTCCCTGATAGCTTGTATGTAGGCATTTTAAGTAATTTCTGGTCTCCTCACCAAAACGTTTGCGATTTCAATTTTTGGAAAGAGTTTTTGAGAAATGTGGTCCAGATGATTAAGCAAAGCCTGTCTTTCAACTCAAAGTGAAAATTAAATGTACAAATTCAAACCAAATCTCTCATGCAGAGTTGTTGGTGCCAAGGGACTCCAAGTAACGACAACTCCGTATGAGAGATTGATACTTACCTGTATGAGTTCTGATGTGGTTTTTCATACAATCTGCACGAACAGATTTGGCACATATTTCACAATCAGCTCTTCTATTCCTCTTTGCCTTTATTTCGTGTTTTGTTTCATGCCACGTCAAGTGTTTCTGGTAATTATACTGAGTCTTATAATCACGTCCACATTCTTTACAAACGAATTTTGAAGGGTTGTGTGTTTTCAGATGGAGAGTTAACTGTCGTTCAGACTTCAACACCTTACCACATTCACTACAAAATATAACACTTCCACCTCCGTCATCGTAACTGCTGCTAGCATCATCATCAGACCATACATGGGAATCACCAGTAACTTGAGTTTCTCTGTTAACAGCACAATCAAGGTCATAGTCTTCTGAAGCAAGGAATTTCCCCACAAATGGCACAAGTTTTTTAGTTGGGCTCGATTTTCTATTCCGGATTCTATTACTTAATTTAGTCGGTTTAACATGCTCATTAATAGTTTTCTCTTTACGACTACTAAGTGTTTTAGTTTCAGAGTCAACTTCGATACTGGATTTTGGGCTAGACGAATTAATAGTATCTGATGTATATTGTAGGTTAGTGATCGCTTCCGCAGAATGACTTGAAATACCTCTTGTTACTTGCTTTGTGCTACAATCTGGTACAAACGCGGTAGCCAAACTCGTATTGTACATATCGACAGCGTGCTGAACAACATGTGATTTTAATGCATTCACAGAAGGTAGTTTCTCAGCACACAAAGAACAGGTGTAACTTTGATTCACATCAAGTTCATGACTTTTAATATGGGTACGTATCAAATGTTCTTTTGCAAAGTGTTTTTTGCAGATAGAACATGTAAAGCTTAGTCTTTTCTTCAAATATAAATTCTGTGAATCGAGTGCGGTACCTACTTCAACTGCAAAATCATTATCAGCATTCAAGGGAACTGTTGTATTAAGGGTGGGAACAGCCTTTTTAACAGTAACTACAATATCCTTCTTTGGAATAGCGTCGTCATCTTGCCTATGATTTCGTCTGTGAGCATCAAAGCCACTCTGGCGACTATATTCTTTGTCGCAAATGTTGCAGTGATAAAGTTTTATTTGTTTATGGTCGGCAACATGTTCAATGAGAGAACGCTTGTATCTAAATTTCTTGTTACACATGGAGCATGAGAAGGGCGTTTCTCCCGTGTGGATACGTGCATGAATTCTTAAATAACTACTGCGTGTGAATCTTTTACGGCATATAGGACAAATATATCTTTTGGGTTGATGAGTAACCTTCGTTTTGGCTTTATAATCTGAGAGACGGCTGGTACTTGGTTTATCAGTCTGATCAAATAATGTTTTGAGTGTTTTTTCTCTGGAATGTTTTTTCATGTGAATCTTGAGAGACAAAATCGACACTCGCTTATGACAAACCCTGCATTCCATTGTCTCCAAGCTTGATCTTCCTGTTGTCTTCTTGTGAGTTTCTGGTGTTGACTGTGGTGACATACTGGTAGCCAGGAGGTCAAATGAGCCATGCTTTATCGGTGACGTCTCAGAAGGAGCTAAATCAGATATGCACCTTGCCTGGCTTTCAGAATATTCATTCACAGAATCTATCAAGCTTACAAGAGATTCTTCAGATGGATCGGAAATGGAATTATAAGATTCGGATACTGGTTGGCTCGTTTTTCGAGTTAGTCGCTGAAGGAAGGAAATTGGGCGCAGTTCTGTCCTTGAAGAGCATTTCAGCTCGGACTGAAAAACAGATGTCACTGGCATAGGCCTAATTACCGACACTTGGCCTTGATTGGACGTAATCACCATTGGCATACCGGAAGTATGGGAATGTGAATCAGTTGGTAATGATAGATTAGAAGAAAGAGGCATGCAAATATCATCATTTCCAGGGTAAATATTGTTTGGAGTAGAACACGCTCCTGAAATATTTGACACATTTTCGTGGTTGCTAGTTTTGGCATATTTATTTGTCTTCAGTTCACTACAACTCACTTCGAGCGCATTATCGAACCTGTGGTCTACAAAATCATGGATTTCAATGTTTTGGGTGATCGAATCATTCAAATGGTTCTTATTCGGTTTCAGAAAAGTGTATTTCACATTCTCTGTTAATGTGGAACCTTCATGTTCCATTTCACAAACATCCTCGGGTGGTTGCGCAGAATAATGTCCGCTGTGCCGATTGATCTTGTAAGGACTGACACTGGCCAACTCTAAGGCTTTCTGCACAAGGTCATGAGCTCTGACATCTTCAATATTAAAATAAACAGGAGAGCCTTCTATGGGTGGACATGCAGTCGATCCACACCCAACCTGTGAATGCACATATGAGGATTTAGGAGAACCAACATTTTGATCCATGATGACTCTAATGAGCAAGATAAAATAAGTCCATGTTCATATCTGAAAACAAAACAGTACAATTTTGAGTTCCTATTAGGCCTACCTTTCGAATTGAATTTTTCTGGTTAGGCTGCTTTATTTGAATTTCAGATTCAAAATAGTCTTAGAATGACTTCACATCTTTTTCATGAGATGCACGTGCGTGCTTTTCATTCGTACAAAAAGGAAGGGGAAAACTTGACACATTCTGCGTAACAGCTGAACAAACTGGAAATATTTGCTTAAAATGTGATAATAAAAATTAATGGGCGATTACAAGTCTTAGCAAATGCACGATGTACGAAATTGTGTCTTGAATCTATCCAAATAGTTTGTTCGGGGGTTTCGGACTAGCCTACAAGAAAGAGCACGCGGTTTGCTGACACGTCATTCTAAAAATAAATCTCAAGTCGATTGATTCATTTTACAAAATACGACTTTACTTTTCAAAAATAAGAAATTAAGTTCATTGCTCAATTGGAGTAAATAGTAAAGTGTTTACCTATTAGCTTAACTTATCCAAAACTTGCAGACGAACTTCCAACATGTCGCCCAAACTTAGTATGAAGTCGAGGTTACTATCAGGTGCGTCTAATATTCGGAATAGTCTCAGATAAATTGCTCATAACATAATGATATATGATACCTGTCTTGACTATAAGAAATTTAAAAAAAATATATACAAAAACAACTTGGAAAAGGAACCCATTATTGGAATGGAAATTGACAAACTCTGAAGAACCTGTCAGTAAAATGACTCCTGTCATAGCTCCTTGTGCTCAAATTTCTAAATCAAGCTGAAAATACAGAACAAATTTTGTCCTCCTTCAGGGTGTAGATCGATGTATTTAATTTGCCATGAAATTGAAAATATATTATCAACAACCAAACCAACAACACCGAATCATCCAATTTGATCCAATCCAATTACCAACTACTACGACTACCAACAACTACCTAGTTTGCGATATCAGCATCCACTGGAAGCGAACGTTAACTCGTCATCTACCTACCTACCTGAAGATATATTGATAACATGCACATTGGACAATTTGGGAGAGGGGGGGGGGGCGAGTTTAAATGCCAGAGAATGATAAAAAACAAAACATAATTTGAAATTTAGAAAGTGAGTTGACACAATCCCCAGTTTTTAAAATTCTCATTTTGGTAAATACAAATATTAAATGCTAGCAAATATTTCACTTTTTATCATAATATGTTACGACAAGAGAAAAACATAAATATTGGATTAAATAAATGATGCATATAAGAGTCTACAAATCTGCTCAATCTGAGCAATACATAATATTTAAAATTTCTGTTTAAAGGCAACGTAATCGAGGCATGGGTGGAACTGGGCCTAATTCTGTGTTGAAGTCATCTTTTACAATGTACGCTGGTTGTCTGAGGCAATTACTATGGTATTTCGCCAGGATCATATGTGTTCGCTCTGGAGCCATCCGCATCACGTCATCATCTGGTAGGAAAGGCTGAAATTTACTCATTTCTCTTCGGGCTTTGTCAGACAGTGGTATTTTCCAGAAATCTACTAAAGAAGCAAGGTTAAGTTGCGAAACTTCGGAGAGTAAAGTATACCACAGATCAATTTGGTCATTCTCTTTGTTTGGATAAGACGAAGGATTCATTCTTCCGTATCTCCTGAAGACCTCTTTAAATACACCCCAGCCTAAATGATGTGCTATCTGCGCATAAATAAAAAGAGCAATACCAGGGTCTGACTTCCAATGAGAGTAGTTTTGGTCGTTGTGATATAGGTATCTCTTGGCATTGCTCATTTGGTTTTGTAACCATTCGTGTACAATTGGTCTTTTACCTATCAATGTATCCATAGCATGGAGAGTGAAAATATTAACAGTGACTTCTGTCGTTCCTGGAAATGTCCAAACACCTTCCTGCATGTTATGCCCAAACTCGTGAAATACTCCCCATGAACCTTTTGTGTTTAAATTATGTGAATTAAGAAGAAAAAATTCATGAGAAGGATTTGCAACATCTAGATGAGTAACAACTGGGTATCCACTATGCATGTAACCAGCTGATGGCTGGACATCTGTAACCAGCCATTGCTTTCTGTGGTTTCGAATATCAATTCCTTTCAGATGAAAATGTGCTTTAAGAACTTCATCCCATTTCTTCATGACTGAAACTGGTCCGTCTAAGTTCCTTATACTTTTAGATGGCAGTGTTATTATAAGGAACTCGCTGCAGATATCGGCCCACAGACCTGGTGCTTGTCGTCTTCCATTCCATTGCTCTATTGTCGTTGGTAAAGTTAAGTCAAATAATGGCGCCTGTATCACATTATCTAGTTGTACAGTGATTGACTGTTGATTACTTGGACTTGTAAAATACACCAATCCACCAAACGTCGCCTTTACAATAGTACACTGCTCGTTTAATGGCTTACAACATACAACATTCGGCCATCGTTTCAGTTCTGATTGTCCAGACAAGCAATCTGAGTGAGCTCCAATCTGAACTGTCCAACCTTTACCATTCTGAGACAAGACGGAAACTGCTAAAGAATCACCAGCCTGAACATAATAACCCGTTGGGTGGACATCCTCTTGGTAGGATGATAAAGTCAAAGTAACAGAAGTCTTTGATGGTGTACTTTCAAAATCACCAGGAAAATTAGCAATACCAGGTAAAATTTGATTGACTTTTCCCATCTTATTCAGCGTCTCACAGAGACCAATCAAAGCCTTTCCTTCAGACGATTTCACAGGACAATGCTCAGAAGGAACATAATCGATGTCAGTCGATTCCAAAACTCCAGACAATTTACTCAATTTTCCTGAAAACATGTGCAACTTCTTATCTGTCAGTTCCGAAAGAAGTTGAAGCGATTCTCCAACTTGTGACAAGGCACGGGCGTCACCTATACTAGCGTCAACGGCTCGTCCAAGATGGCATTGCTCAGAAGAACAGCACGATTGAACATCTAATCCATCTGCTGGTATCTCAACGTATCGTTTGGTATACCCTATGCCAACAGCATCTAAAACCGGATCGAATGGTTGATCATCAAACGATTTTCCTTTATGGCCCATTAGCCAGCCCCATGGACACATCGTGTGTACAAAAGCGCCCCCAGAAATAACGAAATTAAGAACTTCATCATTTGTAAACGATACATTGTTTTGTCCTGACCAAACAAGAATCGTTCCATTTTTTGGATTTAACGGTCTTTTACGAGAGTCTGCATAAATTACTTCTGGATTATTTGCACGAGTTAACCAGTTTCTCATGTTACGATGAAGAGTTTGTAGGTTTCCATCTGAATGTTGACCATTAAATTGTGCTAAATACCCTTCATGAGCAACAACCATAACTCTCCCCTCGCCCAATTCAGCTGCAGCTATCCAGACGTCAATGGGGTTCGTACCAGAGAGAATGGCCCGACAAGAATCTCCAAATACTACAAGACTTCCAGGAACAGCGCCAGTATGTGGAATTTTGGACACTCCTCGCAATATTTCTTGTCGCCATTGATCTGCGCTCCGATCATTAATTTGACAACTCAATGCTGGTTGTGATGCTTGATTCAACTTCTTATATTGAATATTTGAAGGCACAAGATGGGCAATTGGAAGACCTTCTTCAGGAAGAAATACTGCTGCATTATTGTAAGAAATGCCGATATTATCCAAAAAATGTTTAAATGGCATATCATTCAGAGACTTATCGGGACGTAGTTGCAGCCAGCCCCAAGCACACGCACAATGAACAACACTGCCTCCACCGTGAACGTACTGAAGAAGATCGTCTGATGAGACTTGTGTATCATCTGCTCCATTCCAAATTAAGATCTTGAATCGTGGGAGTGAGTTCCTAGACACATGTGGATTGCCCAGAATTCCAATTTCTCGGTTGTTATTAAATTGACCTCGTGTAAGCCATAATTTTATGTTCAAGTGTAGTTGTGCAAGAACTTCTTTGCTATTTACCTTGGTGAAATCAGTAAGGTAACCTTCATGACCAACTACTAGTACCCGCCCTCTTCCAATCTCGACGGCTGCTACCCATATTTCACTGTTTGGTCCTGGTATTATGGAATAAGCTTGTGGGTTTCGGATTGTTAATGTTGCCGGTACTGCTCCAGTATTTGGTATTACCTCTACTCCTGCTAAAAGTTCTGCTTGCCATTGATTGACATTTGACATCCTGAAAAGACAATGCAATTCTATGTATGTGGT